TTCTCGTTAGCATATTGTTTAATAATTTTCCAGGCTTCTATATTAACATTAGGGTAAAATTTCATAGTTTGTAAGGATTTTTCGGTAGTGCCACCAATCTTTGTTGAATATTTAGGAATCTCTAGGAGATCTTGCCATAATTCTCATATTTTGTAATGAAATTTGTTAGGACTACCTTATTTTAGTCAATTACATATGTTTGTTAATTAATATAATAGATTTATGTTATATAAAAAATTCTGTATCATTTCCTAAGAGGTTAAGTTTAAGGTAAAATTACCCGGTGTATCAACATTTTATGTGGCACTGCTTTCTTTAATAGTTGGGGTCCGCATAAAATTTACTATAACATTTATATTTTTCCTTGACAATTTTTGAAATCTTCTTTTTTAAGTCATCTAATGAAAGCTTTTAATTAATAAAGTTGATTTGGATTGAGTTATCATTTACATTACTTTTCATAGGGATCTTGTATTATGCCTTTTTTAATGAACTGACCTACCTATGAAGCATAAAATTGATATTGTAGGAAAATTAAAATTACAATCAATTAAAATTGTACAGGTCCCAAAAGATATATTAGTATGCAAAATGGGTTTTTGTAAATTTATATAAATACATAGGTGATATTTAAGTATAATTATTATAGTTAGAATTTTATCAGTTATGAGGTTTATAACTTACTTGAGGGAAGTTAAACAAGTGACTTGGGACTACAGCATACCTATCTTACTCAGCTGAGAAAAAACTTCAAAGAATTATATGGTTATATATGGATAGGTTATATACTTTTAAGTTAGCAAAGGGCGGCACAGGCTCATCTCGGGTATCTCAAAGGGGTATTATGTTAAGTAATGATTACGGATTGATAAACCTTAAAAGTGATTTTAGATAATATACAGAATAAAAATCAAGAAAGCTATATATGTTTATCAAAGTGGGTTATATTATGGACCTCATATAAGATTAAGATATATTTGAGCCGCGTCACGATAAAAGCAACATAATGGGTTTGCGACCAGCATGGATCCAGACCAGCCTGCGCATCTGTTCGCTATCAGTGTTATACGGTTTGTAAGTGAACAGTAAAAGCCCAGGCCACATACAAAAATAGTAGTCTATGCCTTGATTATGAGCTGACAGATAGGGGAATTTTGTAAAGTGTGGCTTAGCCTGTCTGTTGTGATTACATGTCTAAAAAGTACAACATGGTATATTTTAGCCACCATAGAATTTTTTATCTAGAAAAATATCTAGTTATTTTTATTTGTACAAAAATATAGAAATAGTACAATGTATAATTAGTAAAATGTTCACTATACATGTACAAATAATGAAACTATTAACAAATGTCGGTACAGCTGCGGTACAGTATTTAGATGGTCACGGGTTCGAGTACATGTCAGGATGCACTTTTTTCTCACCCTGTGACTGACAAACATTTGTATAGCCAAGCTAGAAATTAATTCACAATGCTAAGTAACCCTGGGAAATTCGAAGAAATATTTGCATACACAGTAGGTTTATAACTATTCAGTATTTAAACAAGTAAAACGTGTAAGCGGCCGAATAGCTCAGAGGAACTCAAGAGCCGCGGAATCGTATTCCGAGTGTCAGGGGTTCGAGTGCCTGCCAGGCTGTTACATATCAATATAAATCTGTCAAGAAAAATAGGAAGGAACTGTCTAAAATAATTATCACCCTAAATAGTATTCGGATAGGATTCGGACAGTCTTTGATGAAAAGTCAGAAGATGAACTTGTAAAGGGGGTGGGGTGCTAGTCTGATCACATCATTTGATGTCTGACGAACCTCGTATCTAATATATATTGGTACGCATATAAACATCTGTTTGCTGAATTGAATATCAAAAATGTTGCAATTAATTAGTAATTATATCTTATGCGTATGTAATATAGGATTAAAACTAATTGATCTTCGGCTTTAAGCATGTAGAAATCTGACCAGTATTCACCGCGAGGTCACAAACTTTAAAACTTTAATGTAAATATCACAATAATACTTCTTTATATAATATTTCTATTCTTTGACAGGGACACAGAACATCTCTTACATGTTTAAGAAACAACAAATTTACATAATATATATATCTAAGATATTAATTCTTTTACTTCTCAATAGTAACAGACGCAAAACACGGTACTTAAGAGCTTAGACGAACGCAGACGCACGCTAAACGTTTCTGGGAATAAGAAACGCACGCTTTCAGACGCACGATAAACGAAAAACGATACACGGAAAACGATAAACGTTAAACGCTTGTAAACGATGCACGCTTGAGAAAGCGTTTCAGCAAACGCACGTTGCACGCTATACGCACGCACGTTACACGAAAAACGGACGCACGAAAAACGCTATTTTTGACAACCGAAACGTTCACCCTACTGTACTAATATTTTTTTAAAAAGTAAAAAGATTCAAGATTCAAGAAATAATTTAAATGTTTTGTGTGATTAATGATTATTTTTTCAGTATTCATAACAAAATTTCTTCTGCGTTACTAACACAGTAAGGGTTATTTTTGCATATTGTCACCTCTTTTTGGTAATTTACGCGTGTTGCAATGTGTAAATTGATTCCTGGTTACTTCACAAAAGTGTGCTTTGAAATACATTTTCAAGAAAATACCATGAATCAGGATGCAAGCTGCTTTAAGTTCAAGCGCGGTAAGACGAATACCTTTAATGATTTTCAAGAAAGAACTTACGTGCAACCGCACTAATGCCTTTAAACAATATACAGAAGGTAATGATCTCAAGAATCATGTAAGATACTTATTGCGAACAATGAGATTTGAAGTCGCATCTTTAAAACATAACCAATTAAGTGAGCGAAAAGTCAGGTTAAAAAATCTAAGATTTATTGCAACCTTTTTTTGTAATTTACGTGGGTTGCAATGTGTTAATTGATACCTGGTTACTTCACAAAAGTATATGCTTTTAAATACATTTTCAAGAAAATAACATGAATCAGGAGGCATGCTGCTTTAAGTTTCAAGCGCGGTAAAGCGAATACTTTTAATAGTTTTCAAGAAAGAACTTGCAAGCAACCACACTAATGCCTTTAACCAATATACAGAAGATTATTACATTTGTATCTCAAGAATCATATAAGATACTTATTGCGAACAATGAGATCTGTAGTCGCCACTTTAAAACATAGCCAATTAAGTGACCGAAAAGTCAGGTTAAAATATCTAAAAATTATTTTCCGCTTGCATGGTTTTCAAATTAAAAGAAAAATGTATTCGTTAGTTTTATACATTCAACTTGTCCGTATAATGTAGATTGGAAAGCTAGTTAAGCTTATCGCATCTCAAGAAACCCAAACAATTTTGCCATACGGTCATGTGGTAAATATTAGCGATTTATAAAATTGCGAATATATATAAATCTCTACCATCGAGGAAAAGGACACGAAGTTCATGAAAATATTCTACCAGAAGAGTAAAATCAAGATTGATGATTTTATTATAAACAATGTATGAAGAGTATAAATACAGATAAATTAATAGGAGAGATGTACAGGTGGTCAATAGAATGTGCTGATAAGCACTGACCTTAGCAACCGTTGCTGGTCTGTACCACCTGGTCATTTTACATAAGAAAACTATGGTGTGTATGTCTTATAAGAAATCGCAATTTTCCGGCCGTATGTGTTATCGGCGCGGTGTTCCAAATCTTGGTATTTTGTCAATTTTTTTTACAAATCAGAAAAATATTCAGAAATTGCTAAAGACGTTCACTATATACAGAAAGTATATACATGTATGTTCATTTTAAAAACGCCTAGTTGTTCCCTCCAAATCAACGTATAGTGTCAAGTGTAACCACGGTCGGTCGCTCTCCTCCCCTTGGGGTAGGGGCAGAGGAGATTGAGATTTTTGGATCGTGAGAAAACTTATATCAAAATCACCGTTGAAGCACCGGCATTGCATTGCAGTTTGGATATGTCTCGGGCATTTAGCCGCTAAGAAAGATAAAAAAAAACGCACTGGCAGTACAGGACGGATGGTCCGTTTACTCCGCTATTCCCTACCTGCCTGTACCCCCACCCCCTCCCCCACCCGGACAGGTGGAATATTGTTGCATACAGGAACGCCTATAATATCTTAATTAGACGCGAATCAGTAACATGAAAGTGCTTAATTTCATAATTTGCAATTTTATTTCAACGCAATCTTGAATTTTTTTTTTTTTAAAAAGAACAGAGGGAGGAGGGGGGGCGGGTACACTCAGTAGAAAAAAAGATAAACGTTTCTTTTAATGAAGACAAAAAGTGTACATCGATCATTATGAAAAGTATGACTTTGAAATACTGCACATTTGTATTTTTATTAGACGAGATGAATCAGTCAACAGTTGTTCAACTACATCATGATTTATACAATACATCTTCCCCCTTTCAACAAGTCAACAAAAACTCGTCTGCTTATTTCGTAATAGTAATATTTCAAATCTTGTTTTGTTTTGTAACTGTTTTTTCTGGGTATTTTCTTCGGTTTTTCTTTCTATTATTATTATTATTATAATCATAATTATTACTATTATCATTATTATTATCATTATTATTATTATAATTATTATTATTATGTTGTTGTTGTTGTTGTTGTTGTTGTAAATTTAAAGAATTAAGAAGTTATTTTGATGCTGCGGCTGCTGTTGTTAATTTATAGAATTTCAGTCATTTGATAAGTATAATTCTCTTAAAATTATAATCATGGTTTTGCGGTTAACATGATTTTTGCGTGCACGTTTCAATGCGTTTTACATGATTTTAATAAGAGAATTCGTGGAAGTGCTTTATGTGCTTCCTGAACAACGAGTGCAGTACAAAGACCATGCAGACAAAAACATTCAAGCTATCTTATGGAATTCAGGTAAAAATAATAAACTAATGAAAAAAACTGATATCAACTTTAACAACAAAAAGGTATTTAATTATAATAATAATTATAATAATAGAAAAAACAGACTCACCACAATATAATCCAATGATAAACAACTTTAAACTCATATCTCACGTTTATACACCACAACAACGCGACTGAAGGTGAATAAAATGTTTACCAACATAAAAACGCATATGTAATATATGCTAACGTATGGAGCGCCCTTTCTGCCCCCTTGGTGTTGTATATTGTATACATATGTTTAATCTTAATACTATCTTATACTGTAATGCGCATGTCCATTATCTTTCCGCCACTTATATACTTGGAACAGTCAGTGGTCATTAAATGATAGAACTAGCAACACGTGTCTGTGTTATATATTAGTAAATAAGTATACCCATAATACAACAAGGTACTTGTTCAACAATGATATACATGTATATATATACTCGTATATAAAAGGTTCCTCGATCTAGTTAACATTTCTCGAGAAACAACATGGACGGATGTTTGTGTGTGTGGTTTAGTTTCATAGAAAATCTTAACATGCATTTGATAGGCTTTTGGTGTTACCCGGTACAGATTTAGACCAGACTCCACTCTAGATATCAGTTCTAAATATATGATTAGTGTTTGAAATTATTTTTGTCCAATAGGATTGCAGTATTTCAAATTTGCTTTGGTAATTCGGCTTACTATTTATCAGTCTAGTAGATCATCGACTGTTTATAGAAATAATTTCAAACACTAAATTGGTTTGTGTTCAGTAGTAAGCATTTACCAAATTCAATTGGTTAAACGGGACCAATTAAATTTTGTAAATGCTTAATTATAAACACTTACTAATACTAAGTTTCCCATTTTAAGGCATCACTAGTTTGAATGGTCTAATTTTAAGTGTATTTTATTGATTTTGTATAGTTTATAAGTTTTATATTATGACTTAAATAGTTGTGTTGCACAAAATATATCTTTTTTTTTTTTTGCTTTTTTCTGATTTCTTTTTCTGAACATGTTATCATAACTGTATGTTTGACCCACAGGTAAATCTGCATACACTGTACCATTCGGAACACTTCATCGAATGCTAATTATCAACCCAAATTAATTGGTCGAAATACATGTAATTGATACTAAACAAAACACAAGTTACTTTTTATAGCGATTCATATATGATGTTCTTTTTTTTCCCTTTATTTGCAGTATGTAACAAATTTTCTAGAATGTCATTAGTTAAAACTTTAATGTTCTTATTATCTATTTTTCTTTGCTTTTGTCATGTGACCACAGAGTTATTATATTTGTAATTATTGTATGTAACGAGATACTGTAAATGTATAACACTGTATAAGTTACCGAAATAAACTATTTCTTCTATTCTCTCTCTCTTCATATTGATATGTATATATTCATATATATGTTTACGGTAAAATTCCTTTACCGCAGAAAAACCTAATTTAACAAAAATATAACAGGATAATAGTTCTTTAGGATCTAAAAATACAAAATTCTATTTTACTTTTATCAAACGCATGGCTCGATCAGAGCCAATGGTATATAAAACAAAAACAGATATACAGAAGAAAATAACCTGTAAGAAACTAAATGAAAAGTTGTATATACATGTATACATGTATATATTTCTCGGCAATCAAGAACGTTCGTTATTAATAATAAGTTTGTTCTAAAAACGAGGACGTAGATACACGAACGCGGGTTACAATCAGCTGACAAACTTATACGCCGGAAGTTAGTCGTCAACAAGACGATTTCAGTTCTCGTTACAGTGGCTCTACCATAGTACTTTCGGTACTTTGATTTTTGTTGGGTTTTTTTTTGAAACCGTTGATAATATTCTGGGGAATTTTATGCGGTTAGAATTTAAGTTAAACTAACTTAAAATACTTTATAAGGGTGGGCACAACTGGATTATAAAACCGCAGTAGTTAATTACTAAAACAGATAACATTTTACTTTTTTTGTTCGTTTAAGTACTGGAGATAGAAACATTTAAATTATTGACGCATACGTCACTCATCAAATAAACACAAGCCCTGAAAACTTTCCCGCACCTCTACCATGTACATCCACCCCATCCCATTAATTTTCTCGTAATATTATAGGCGAGAATTTTCTTTTTAGCTTAAAATATCAAAATTTATAATCGTTAATTTGTGAATATGCTAAAGCATTTAATATAAATGAGGTAATAATTTAAGTATAAAACCTTCATTCGAATCTACTACGAATCAGACACAGACGCTCAATGTTTTTTAAAAAAATGCGTACACTATCTAATATCGACCAGGGGTATCTCCTTCAAAGATATGTGCAAACCATTTAAAATCGTTTTGTCAATCATGTTTCTTTTCAATTCAGTATTTGCATATGAGCAAACTGAATAGCCCATGCGTATCGTTAGAGTGCAAAGTATGGTAAGCCGTTATTGCATTCTTATCGCTGTCATACATTTTGTTCGCATTGTAATAAATGTCGCATTTTATGAGCAATTATGAATACAAAATCAATCAAAACAAATTTGCAGTTTTCGTTTCAGCTTTTTTTTAAAATTCCCGTTCTCGTCGTTGTTGTTGTTGTTATTGTTGTTGTTTCAGAGGGATCCCATTTTCCTAAATTTTCATACAAGCTTACCTAGATGTTTAATTTATACATGTATAAATCTTTCTTAATTAATTAGGTACACATATTAATTACTAAAGGGCGATACAGATGATGGCAACGACAGATGTGTATGTACCATTCGGAATACTTTGCTGAGTGCATATAACAGATAAGGAAAGTAAAGCAGGCACTTCAATAGTTTAAGCCATTTATAAATATGCCCGAAATTTATCGTAACTACTAACATACGACAGGGTCTTTCACATAGTATTCGAAAGACCCTGCATACGATTACACTCAAATTTATAATACGGCCAGAATGAAAATCATGCATGCTATTTCTACTTCCGCTTGGTAAAATCAGAATAATCGTTATAGAAATAATATGCAATTTTACTTCTTATCAACATATGAGTCGCCTTTAATTATGATAGTGCACAGGTAAAAAAAAGTCAAATAGTTGCTATTTGTCTTCATGTTTAATACATGTTTCTTTACCTCCGAGGTCTTTTGCCGTAAATTGACGGAAAGGCCCGAAAAGTAACGATTGTCGTGTGTTTCTTTTAATTAAAATTGTAAATAATGTATTTTATTTTAACAAAGTAAAGGAACAAATAACATACAAAGGAAAAGAATAAAATGACAGATGAAAGAGTACAATATTTATGTTAATAACATGTTGGTATTATTTAAACAGTTATGTTTAACAGTATAAATCTGGTCAAGTGGTTTATTTTCTTACATGTCTTAAAAATAAAATGGCCGACATTTTTTGTTTCTCGATTCAGCCTCTTTTTTTCGAAGGGCATTGCCAAAGTGACTCGGACAGCCAGAAAATAAACTTGTTTGCAACCTAGAGTGCTTTTCAAGTCTTGAATAAATTTTGGTTGAATAGTAATTCCATCGGAAGTTACCAATGTAACAGTACAAATTTCTTAGTCACGTGGTACACTTGCAATAATAGTTTGATCTATGAGAAAACAACATTACAAAAAAAATAGGGATAATAATAAAATATATTCAAAGAAATGTATAAAAAGTTGTACCTGTATATCAATACAGTATGATTAAAACATAGAGATAAACAATATTCTCTTTTTACTTGTTCTGGAACATTGTTTTGGAATATCACCGATTTACATAACACTACATATTTTAGAAATTACAGTTTGCTCAGTTTCCCTCTGAAATTTTCCGGAAGGTGGTGTGGGAGGTCTTGTTTCTTTCTGCACAGCAAGCATCAACGACCCCTTCATAATGGCCAGTTCTGGCGTTTCCGGTACGATGACCTCCATTTCCGGAAAGCGTTTCTTGATCCCGGCTTGCACGAGCTTTGATTCGGAGAAGCCGCCAACTAATATAAAGCTTACAATGCGTGCGCATGGACCCATTTTAAGAACATTTCGGATAAACACTTCAATTTTATTCAGAACAATATCAAACAAATCTTTCAGGACGCTAATCTCAACATGCAAACGATCGCGGTCATAACGTACCCGGTCGCGGAAAACCGATTTCTCTTTAATTCTTTGAGTAATCGTGCGATATTCTTCTTTATACAAGTCTTTAAATGTTTCTTCAATCTGGTATGGTAATTTGAACGAAAAGAGGTCAGTGTCGTTCGTGTCCGGTTTAATTTCCCGCTTTCTCATTTCGAATTCATCACACATAGCCATGTAGTCGTCCACGTAATCTTTTTCCAAGGCCCTTATGATATCTTCTCCAATAAGGTTGGACAGAAACAATAGAAACTGGTCGTTCACTTGACTACTGCCCTTCTTATGGCTGCGTGTCTGATATACCATCTTGAACGTTTTGTCGCCGCTGACACGGTGTACAGATAACGTTGCAGCGTCCCCTGGTGGAGAAAGAAAATCAGTTTATAAATAGTAACACAGCGCATACCATTTTCTCGTTTCAGAATTGGCAACAAATAGTATTCAATTTTAATGTATTTCTTAACATGTTTCATATACTAGTACTAGTATTTCTTACAAAGCTTCATGCTTTAGTTGTCGGTTGTCTCTTTTAAAAAGGTTAACTGGAATCCAAGACGAAAATAAGATACATGTATAAAACTAACCGCTTAGATCAAGTAGCATAACTCTTGCGTCAAAAAGGGAGATTATTCCAGAAATCCTTTCCTTTTCTTTCGAGGGAATTCTTCTCCGGAGGTACTGCATTACATATGCCAAACAGGCTTCAGGTTCTGTGACTATTTGTAACCGCCTGTAGGAGATTCCTGCCTGAAACAAACACATAAATATCATAATTAAATATGTAATCGTCATTGGGGTTTCTACTTATGTGCGCGCATGCGCATATAATAATGTTCCTTGAACTTCCTTCCTCCACCAAAAAAGATGGAAAGTTGCCATATGAACAGTGTTAAAAATCAACCACTACGAGGATTCTGAAAAACCTTTTGTTATTGTGCTCGAAGTTCTTAAACTCTTCATGCATTAAAAGTATTTCTATTATATCGGCCGAATGTTGAAAACCGGTCTAATTATTTGTACCAGGCATTAAGACATGATTACTCGGGTGCAAACATTTGTTATTATTTATAACGTTAGTATACAAGACAAAATACTGCATATAAAGGGGGCTTTCAAAACAAAATACTACATATAAATATCTTCAAAAGCAAAATACTACATTTAAGGGGGCTTCCATAACATAATACTACATGTAGAAGGCTTCAATAGCAAAATACTAAATTTATGGTGACTTCCATAACTAATACTACATGCAGGGCACTTCCATAAGAAAATATTACATGTAGGGGACTTCCATAAGAAAATACTACATATAGAGGGCTTCAGTAGTAAAGACTACATTTATGGGGCCTTCCATAGCAAATACTACATGTAAGGGACGTCATAACAAAATACTACATAAAGGGGACTTCCATAACAAAATAAAAACTAGAAATGTTGGCTTTAGGACACGGGTGCCCCACACTCCACTGTTTTGTCAATCTTATGACTCTTGGTCAAATATTTTTGGGCTACATGTGCCACACGTTTAAAACTAAAGACCCTTTACTAAATAAAGGGCAAAAACTTAACAAATATTGAATAAATCAACAAGCAAACCCCAAGGTGCATAAGTACACATGCTGACCAACATTATTGTTAACGTTCAGGCCGACAGGTCGAATATTTTTTGAGCTATGCATGTACAAGTTGAAAATTGCAATTAATACTATGTCAAGGGAAATAACTCTAACAAAACTGAAAAAAACACATGCAAAACCTAAGGTGCATAGCTTTACAGTGATGGTGATCATTATTCCGGTAAAGTTGGTTGAGAATTCTAACTCAACCACTCAAGGAAAACATAACATAACATAATGGAACGGTTTTTCAAAGTCAAAGGCAATAACTCTAGAAATACTGGATAAATCCACAAGCGAAACCCCAGGTGCACAACTTCACAAGCTGATCAACATTCCTGTAAAGTTTCATGACTCTAGGTCAAATACTTTTTGAGCTACGTGCAACACAAGTTGAAAATTGCAAAGTTTTACTAAGTCAAGTGCAATAACTCTACAAATACTAAATAAATCGACACGAAAAGACCCAGGTGAATAACAACACATGCTGAGCAACATTGCTGTTTTTAAAGTTTCATGATTCTAGGTCAAATACTTTTTGAGCTATGTGCGACACAAATGAGAACGCACTGATGGACGGGCGGACAAGGTTAAACTTAATGCCCCACACCCCCTAAAGTGGGGGCACACAAATATACCTCGATGGCTAAGTCCCTGTATAGTAGAGATGTCTCTTGTTTCCATGCCGACGGTACATTAAGCACCCAGAATATATCATCCTCAGTGATGGCAGCGAAACGCTTCCGTATTCTTTCTATAGCTTTCTCTCTGAAGAATCGAAGTAAGGCCAAGGTTATATCACAAAGAGGCTTCTTCTGTACTTTAGTGTTGACGTCAGTAATCTCCGTCTCAAAATTGACGCCATCCTGTTCAAAAATTAGTCGTTATTTGTAAAATTAATCACTCACTTAATCAATCAATCAATCAATCAATTAGTAAATTTACCTATACATATATTTTTACTTTACATAAATGCTCTTTATCTAGTTTTATCATTTGAATACCCATGGACATTTTTTAGATATTAATACAAAAAATATCTGAATACTACATATCTTGAACAAAAATGGAAACATAACATAATCAAAGCACAGAAGGCGCTGAATGTGTTTGGGTCTCAGAATGTCAGAAAGGTGAAGGTTGTGAGATTATATAAACCAATTTGTTTTTGTATAGTGCCACCAATGCTTTCCAGCGTTTTAATTGTAGTAAATTGGCTATAAGACTAATTGCGACACTGATATTCAATTCAATGTTTATTTGACTTAAACAATTTGAAAAAAAAATAAGTTGCCTTAGCTGGGATTTAAACTCCAGACCTCTCGCTTCCTAAGCGAGCGCGCAAACCCCTCGGCAACGTTGAAGTTATATGTTAATGGGCTGAAGAAAACCATATTATTCTAAATTAGGGTTTGTAACGACGCTAACTGTTGTTTAACACAGATGTAAATAATCATGGAGCTTACTATAAGCATGTATATCCATAAAGAATAAAACAATATTAGAAATCTTCGACCATTCGGGAACTTTTTTTGCTTGAAAATTAATGCGCCTGTCATTTGACCATCTTTACGCAGTGATCTCCCCTGAATTTTTCGGCGTTAGTGTACATATAAAGGGAAGTAACCACTTCAAAAGCGGACTACTTTCGGCATTTTCAATTAACAGCATCAGAGTCTGAAATTTCGCTACCATTATTTGTTTGGTCTGACGACCCAAGCAAATAACAACTGTGCTCGAGCTTTAAGACGGAAGTCGACAATATTATCTGAATTTTCATATAAACCTATTATACTGTAAGCAAAAACATGATGGAAACAAATAAGTACTTAAATTATTGATTGATCATAACTGTGAAGACAATAACTCTCTTTCAAAACGAGTGGTCTCTTTTTGTCAGCAGAAAAACGCGGAAAAAAAGAAACATGTACAATAAAATCGCTAAAATTAGATTCGCTAAATTTAGATCACTGTCAAAATCGTGAAATTTGCCCTACGCAAAAATAGCCTGATATACGGTATATCAACATGTATATATATACCTTATAAAACTCTTGTTTGATATTTCTGAACAATATATATTCTTGGGAGCATCCATCCATGAACTTTCCGGCAAATTCCGTCTCGGCCTCATACCCGTATTTCGCCCCGGTCATTTTCCCGTCGGGTTCGAGCAGCAGAGAGGTGCACGTTTTGTGGGTCATATGTTTCTCCCTGACCCACGGGTCATTCATATGTATTGTCCATCCATCTTCCATAAAGTCCTTGGTGTACGTGTACGCGTAACCAGAATATGTGTCCCCAATATCCAAGGTCACTAAAACTGAACTGGTCTCCTGTTCAGCCCGAGGCTGTATAATTGTCTTACTGCGAAACATGACAAGATATATTCTAGATGCGCTTCATTTTCTATTGGCAAAAAGTCAACTCGGGTAAAGTTAATGGAGTTCCACTGAGGTCAAAAATCTGCAAATGGTAAAAAAGAAATATACAAAGATTTGAATTTAATCGATTTTTTGTGCGATTTTTTTATCCTGATTGGATTGAAAAGCATCGCAACGTTTTTCAATTTTAGGTCATTTTCGACAATCAAAATGAATGGATTATTCTGGAAATAAGGATAAGGGAATTTCTAAAAATTTGCACAAGTTTTTGGTCCAGACCTACATCAAATGGTACACAAATCGGAGTGGAGTCCCTTTAAAACAGATTTAACAACTTGATAAAGAAGGAACAAAATCAATGGAACAGAAAAGAATTTTTTGCTTAATCACCTCAAATAGTTGCTGTAAAATATTTAAAAAGAGTGGAATTCGGACCTGTAACCGTGATTGTACAAGACGCGGGAGCGCCAGATGTGTTCATACTTGCATACAACAAGAAGTCACTTATTTATAGCAGCAAAAACAAACAAAACATATCAAATGGTAGCGTCAGAGTTTTTTATACGGGGGTTTAACACATTTGATTTTATGGCTATATGTCAATACCGATACACACTTTCTATGACCGTCAATATGTGCATATTTTTATGTTATTTTAGTGACTCCACTGGGGATTTTGGCAAGTAGGGGATGGGGGGAAATGTGAACCTCCAAAAAAATCCAAGTCGCATAACTGTACGCAGTGTACTATTGGGCAACTTTCAGAAAAATATTTTTAAAAAATGATTAAAATGGCGGTTTATTAGCGAATTTAAATCAAAATATATTTAATATGTACAGTATTTTTATGCGACAATAATGCTCTTTTTCCTAAAGCTCGAAAAAAGTTAACGCCTTATTATTACAAAATATAAGAAAAAGATAGAGAACTTACAAGTTTTCTTCTTTATATTTCCCATGACAACATTTTAAACATCCTCGTCTGTAAACAGAAAGTCAGGTTTCTATATATATATATAAATATTTTCAATTCATGGAATTTATGACTTACCAGTTAGGATAAAGGAAGTAAATTGATCAAAATTAAATCGATAATCACTGTAACCATATCTGTCCATTTATTTTAATTGTATTTGTATTATGCTAAACCGCTTCATTTTATCCTTTATTTACATATTTGTTACCGTTTATCATTTTCGTGCGCATATATAAAACCATTTTATCAACCGCTGTTGATTTAACTGCGAACAAAAGTGCCAAATAATTTCAATATGTAGTGATATGATATGGGTGCAACAAGAACATTTTAAGTTCAGTACACATTTATATATCGAATAAAAAGATATATATATATTTTACAAATTGCCTTACATACGTACACTTAACAAAAGTTCTAACCGATCTCTTCTTAAATTTTGATTATTTCATAACGGGTCAATAGATCCTTATAAAATTTTGCAGAGGTGATTTTTGTGTCATTTTCTACCGATTTGTGGAAAGAAAAATGATTTAATACGGTTCCATGCACTCACGCGGGAGACAGGGCGCGGTTTACACATTTTGGCACGAAATGTTCGTGCAGAGCGTGGTGAGTATTAAATTTTACATTGCATAAATCCTTGTTAACTTTATAAGTGAAAAAACATAACACATGGCACGAATGTCGATGCAGGATCGTGCCGTAGCAGTTGGAATGTTGAATGCTTTAGCCTCTATCAGACAGGTGAGTGGCTGTTCATAAAAATATTTTTTTTAAATATCGATAAAGTATTATTTAAATAGAAAATGTTATATATTTATTATTCTCAATGTGTTCATTCTCTTCCAAATAAAATAAAAGTCGGATCTATTGGTATTATTCTTTTTCATATATAAGTTAAAACTCAGGGTGATCGGTTAGAACTTTTGTTCAGTGTATATTACAGGTTTTTAACTTCCCAAAATGGAAACTATTTTAAGTCGGTATGGGCGCAGGTCAAATGTCAAGTCACATAGCAGTTATAGCCGTAGTCTGTAGCAATAAATAATGAAAATTTGATAAAAACTGACTGCTATTATTGAATAGTTTGTAATCAAATTTCAAGTATAAGTTCAATACAAATGACCTTGTAATACACAATTGTAGGAAGTAAAATTCATAGTGGAATAAGGTTATGACAATTCTTAATTCTGTAGAAAAAAAATCATAATTTCTTGTCGACGTACGTACATTTGTACCCGTGTTGCTGTTCAGTATATATGACGGTTTATCTTAAAACGTAAAATAATTTATTCGAAGTCTGTTGCTAAACCAGACCTTCTAATCAATCACACCTCGTTCCTTATAAAAACCCTCTGCCACAATGGTAAATAGTTAAGCAAGGCCTATGGCGCTGGCCAATGATCGAACCAGTGACCTTTAGCGCCTGAAGCTGGCGATGTTTTCCTACGCTATGGAGCCGATCAAGTTTGACAGTCACGAATTACGAGAAAGTTGCGCATAACAGTTCTCCACTAAGTTGTTAGGCTTCCAAATAAAGATAAAGCGTGGATATACTCTCATGATTTATCCCTGAACCTGCTAAATTTCTTTAATGGACCTGTCCAGATTTAATTTTTGGAACTGTCCATTATAAATTAGGGATATCAAGATGAAAACCTATTTAGTCAGCAAACTGTGACAAGTCTGGTAAGACTGACTACACGTGTGAAGACTGGGTCTGGCTCTTAAGATTTCTGGTGACCAATTTTAATCAATTATGGTTCCAGACCAGCATGGAAAGGGTTTAATCTTTTTGTGTAAATCTGGCAAATATGGGTTACTTTAGGGGACGGATAAATCTGACAAAATTTGGTGACTTTGGGGGAGGGGGGAATATAAATACGCAACACTTTCAATACAATTTGTATATTCTATTTTCAAACAGTACTAATACATTCAAATGGTATAATAATTATAACGAAATACATACAAAATAATTATGCTTAACAAAACTAGTGTAACCTATGGTATAAAATAATAATTATGAATCTAACAGGATTTGGTCAAAAAAATAACTACATTTGATAACTATTACCAATTAAATTCTCCTTTTTTAAAGGCACATTACGTCTCAGAAACGAATAAATTTCCATTTCTTTAGAAAGGGAAAGAATGAATTTTATACTGTTCAAATAATGGTTTTAGATCATGTTAGATGCTTGTTACCTGAAGTAAATAGTGTGAAATGTGAAATAATTTGTCACAAAAAGTAACAAAATGTAAACGAAGTAGTAATTTGGCTTCAATACAAAAAATTGTTTAAATCACTAAGGCTGAACTAACTGCAAAAATGCAAATAGAGGAAAAGGATGGTTAAGGTAATTAGTCAAGGAGTATTCTTTGAGAACCATAAAAGTACACCAAAAATAACAAGTAATTTGAGAAATAAAAATGAAAACATTTCTTGGACATAATGGACCTTTAAATTTGAATAATATAAATACATGTATACAGTACATGTATCACAATGACATTGGCCAATATGAAACTGTATTTTACAATTAAGGATATCAGAAAGTTTTACATTCACAATATGTTAATTTCACAATGATATATTTTGATATATTTTGTAATTCATTCACTTTTTTAATTGTTGTGCACTAACAATCAACAATGTAATATTAATGATACATAAAATATGTTTACCCGAAAATGAAATTAATTATGTAAACAATTATAAAAAAAATTTAAAACATGCTAAATTTTCTCCTTTTTTTATATAAATTCAATGCTTTCAGCTGACAAATTTAGTTTTGCATGAACAATGTAATATACAAAAAATACTGAGTTTACTCCATATCAAATTTCATTGTCCAAACAATGGCGCAAAATTTTTAAAATTTACTAAATTTTCTGTTTTATTGCAGATTTGTCATAAATTTCAATGCTTTCTGCTAACAAATTACTCCAACACTGAAATATTTTTGTCCCTGGTTTTTGGCGGTTGTTTCATCTCAAATTGTGAAGCAGTTTGTGTGTGTTTGCGTTTGTTTACCCTCACCACCGGAAAGAGACCATATGGGCGAGCAAAAGAAGCAGTTATAAAATAAGAACATGTAAACCTGTCTTAAAATTCTATTGAATCTTATTGGTTAATGCTGCAAACAAATTTTTTTCATATTGACCAATGACAATGCTCGTACTTTCAGCATTAAGTCATCTGAAATCTAGTTGATTTAAATAATGGTATTGCACAGGTCCCATTAAAATGGTTTTGATATATGATACTTCGAGTATAATGTAATTTCTTTGGAAATAAAATATTAAACATTTTATGCATTTGGTTCCATTTTAAGCATTTGGTTCCATTTTAAGCATTTGGATCCATTTAATGTATTTGGTTCCTTTTTAAGATTTATATATATATATATATATATTTGGTTCAGAAAAAAAGTTTTCAAACAAAACAAAACAAGAGCTGTCACAGGAGACAGCGAAGCTCGACTAATAAAATGCTGGACGCAGTAAGGAGGACAAAACTATGAAAGAAAAATCAATTATGTATAATTAAGTATTAAGTTATAGTAAAAATATAACATTTGTTAACATAAATTCCAAGAGCAAGGGGAATAATTCTAGAAATAGTCATGCAAGAGTTATGGACCTTGCCACACAACATTTGTGTAATGATAAGAAATATATATTTGAAGTTTGAAGTAGATATCTTAAAAAATAAAGAAGTTATTATATTTCTTAAAGAAAATCCTAAGTTCAAAGGGAGATAAATCTGTAAATATTGCTTCAAGAGTTATGAACATTGTCACATAAAATGTAAATGATTATAAGGAATAAGTATTTGAAGTTTGAGGTAGATACCTTTTAAAAATAAAAAAGTTAAAATAAAAAATAACATTTTTCTAGTAAATAAATCTAAGTTTATGGGGAGATAATTCTTGCGATATTGGTGCTAGAGTTATGAACTTGTCACATAAGATGTGGATGATGATAACGTAAATATATTTGAAGTATGAAGTTGATCCCTTTAGAAATAAATAAGTTACAGTAAAAAATAATATTTTGTATGGAAAATTCTAAGTTCAAAGGGAGATAAATCTAAAAATATTGGTGCTAGAGTTATGAACATTGTCACATAAGATTGGGATGATGATAATGTAAATATATTTGAAGTATGAGGTTGATCCCTTAAGAAATAAAGAAGAAACAGTAAGAAATAGTATTCTTTGAGGAAAATTCTAAGTTCAAGGGGAGATAAATCTGAAAATATTGGTGCTAGAGTTATGACACTTGTCACATAAGATGGGGATGATGATAAGGTACATATATTTGAAGTATGAGGTTGATCCCTTTAGAAATAAAGAAGTATCAGTAAAAAATAGTATCTTTTAAGAAAAATTCTAAGTTCAAGGGGAGATAAATCTGAAAATATTGGTGCTAGAGTTATGAACCTTGTCACATAAGATGTGGTTGATGATAAGGAACATATATTTGAAGTTTGAAGTTGATACCTTAATAAATGACAAAGTTATAGTGAAAAATATTTTACTGCACCAAAACTTTAATCTAAAATCTGGACGCGGACGCGGACGCCGACGCCGGGGCGAGTAGGACAGCTCTCCATATACTTCGTATAGTCGAGCTAAAAATAATGCAAAAATAAACGTTCAAGTGTTCTATACTGATCCAAAACCTCATTCACCTTTAACTCTCTTCAAGATGTAATACTGTCTATTTATTTTATGGGAATGAAATGTCACAGTTTTGTTAAAAAATGACTTTTTTTTTTTGGGGGGGGGGGGGGTGTCTGTTTTTGCAAAAAGTAAAATGCAAATAATGTAATGTGAAATAACCTAAACTCAGACAACATGAAATTTCTTTGAATCATAAATTCCAGAAAAACTAGTGTCCATTGAATTATAATGATTTTGCAGTTTGCATTTAATTTAAACAGACTCTTTTTGGAGAGAAACCAGACATGTTTACATGATTTATCATCAAAATAACACCTAGGTTGCAGTAAGAAAAGTTGTAACAGATGTTTGAAAAAGAAATTCCCATAAAATAGCACTGTAGTATGGTACTATAAATTTATCTTTGAGTTGTTCAGTGGATAGTGTATTTTATCAGCTTCCTATAAATTAAGCATTTAAGTGGCTGAAACAAGTGTAGAAGTGGCCAAAACAAGGGTTTAAGTGGCCAAAACAAGTGTTCAATTGGCCAAAACATGCATTCAAGTGGCTAAAACAAGCATTCAAGTGCCTAAAACGTGTGGCCAAAAGAAGTGGTTAAGTGGCCAAAACAAGTGTTGCAATAAGGTGACAAAATTTTTCATAGCCTCATTAGCTGGAAAAAAACCCACTTGATTACAAGTTCACTTCAAATTACTATAAAATATCAAACATATTCAAAGCCCTTTTTATTTCATTTAGTTTGTTCAGGACTGCTTTATTTGTTTCCAGTATTTTTATTTCCTTTACCACTAAAAGTGTCCATACACAAAGTCCTTCCTCTTTTTCTTATCATTTTTTCTTTGTTTTGAAATATATAACTAAATACTAGTGGAAGTAATATGCCTGGTCCCACAACTTCATTTCTAAGAAGATGGTACCCTGTATCTAGTCACACCATTGTTCATATTTCTTGTTTCCATTTGTATCTATCCTTTAAATACAAGAATGAGCAATACTTCCGGTTCTCAAATCCTGTTTACACATTAAAGCTGGTACCCTATATCAAGTTTCTAATTCTACATTATCCATCCATATTAGTATTACTACTGGTTCCCTTTGCTTTTCTGCTAGGCAAGAATCCTGATTTACCTGAAATCGAGAAAAGACACAGTTACCAAATGACCATCTCAATAATAAGACCACTTCTACCAGAATCCCAAATTGGTCTTAATTGCGAGACTTTACTATAATAATAACAAAGTATCCTTATCATACCATTTTTAACATACCCATTTTGCAAGTTCAGTACCAACATGGAAAACTTATGTTGTAAATTCTGTTATCACTATCATATATATAGAGAATATTAGAAAGAGAGTAGGTTTAATACTAAATTTATTGAACGAGTTGAATAAAATTACAATGTATATTATGCGAGCATCTGGCGGGCATATTATTGTTTAATTCAAAGAGTTCAATAAACTAAGTATGGAATCTACACGAATATAATATTCTATTAATTACATATATAGAATTAGAACTGTAAACATTTAAAAAAAAGTCATTTTTCATTGATGCGCCTATAATGTAACGCTAATATAAGTGCGCTGAAAAGCTATGGTGCAAATGACGTCACATCAAAGTGTTACAACACTAGTGTTTTTATCACACATATAAAATAAGAACGATAAACTGTTAAAAAAGTAGTCATTTTTCATTGCCGTACCTATAGTGTAACGCTAACATTAGCAAGCTTTAACGCTATGTTAATACATGTATATAAAGCAATGGAGTAACATCAAAGTGTTATTTTTTGTAATGTTGTCTTTAATCCTAAGTCTGCTGGTTAACAACTGAATCTACCAATGAGACTAGTACACCGGAGTGGGTGGTTGGCATGTCCATGCCATTAAATTGTGGTCTGCACTGTTCACTATTCAAACAGTGCTTATTTTCAAGTTTTCCTTGAAAATGATGAATGCTTTTGTCCAATTTGAAAGATAGACGAGTCAATTTAAGATACAATGTACATGTATTTAGTTTATACAAATTTATTTTAGTTCAATTGTTTTGGAAGCTTTAAGTTTATTGAAACAATCTCGAATCCGTTCTTGGAACAAATCAGTACTAAGCAATGACTGTAAAGTTTCTTGCTTGAAGAAACAAGAGCTTGCCCTGGACAGGGTTTGAACCCACGCGGTCAGCAATCGTTAGATTACTTGTCTGACACGTTAACCACTAGTCCACATCACCACTAGATACATGTATTTATGGAGGTCAGACAAGGTTAGAAATAAACTCATCAGGACATGTCGTAGGATGTTTCACATTCATAACAGTGATGTTTATACATCTTATATAGATTATACATCTTTTATAGTTGGTATACTCACTCTGTGGTTGTGTTATTCTAGATGTCAACCATACAAATGGTTCAACCAGAGATTGTCTATTTGGTACATTGGCTTCCCATAACCTCACTATATGAAAAAAATATATATGGTACAATTTTAATCACTATTTCTTTTCCAAAAGATAAAATAATTAGGCATTCCATGAAGTTTCTGAGAAATGATTATAATACATCTCTTTAGAGCAACGACAGCAAAACAATGACTTATAATATTGCTTAACCTCTATCCCCCTCCACTACTGGCTTCAGTAGACGGAGTAGTGTGCAAGCTTTAACAGAAAATTTTGATTTTGAAGACCAAAAAGGAAGAAAAGTATACAAGAGGGCCATGATGGCCCTGAGGTCGCTCACCTGTACATAGGCCCCCCAGGAGCGGGGCCAGTTTAAACTCAAGGGCTTTTATTTGAACAAACTTGGAAGACACCAATTAGAAGATGTTTCATGATGTTAAGTTTTAACTACAAACATATAATGAAAAACAATGACCTCCCCCCCCCCCCGTCAGGGCTAATTTCAACCCATGGGCTTTTATTTAAACAAACTTGGTAGACACCCATAAGAAGATGTTTCATGCTAAACATCTAAGCTCTAGCTCATTGGGTTTTTTAAAAAAAGATTATTTAAGTTTTTACTATACACATACAGTTAAAAACAATGACACCCCTGGGGCGGGGCCAGTTTTGACCCAAGGGCTTTTATTTGAATGAATGTTGTAGACACTCACTAGAAGATGTTTCATGCTTAATATCTAAACTCTAGCTCTTTGGGTTTTTTCAAAGAAGATTTTTTAAGTTTTTGCTATAAGGAAAATCAATGACCGAGGGGCGGGGCCAATTTTGACCCAAGGACTTTTATTTGAATGAACGTTGTAGACACTCACCAGAAGATGTTTCATGCTTAATATCTTAACTCTAGCTCTTTGGGTTTTTTCAAAGAAGATTTTTTAAGTTTTTGCTATACACATCAATGACCCCCGGGGCGGGGCCAATTTTGACCCCAGGGCTTTTATTTGAACAAACTTGGTAGACACTCATTAGAAGATGTTTCATGCTAAATATCTTAGCTCTAGCTCTTTGGGTTCTTTAAAAGAGATTTTTTAAGTTTTTACTATATGCATATAGGGAAAATCAATGTACCCCTGGGGCGGGCCTATTTTGACCCCAGGGCTTTTATTTGAACAAACTTGGTAGACACTCATTAGAAGATGTTTCATGCTCCATATCTTAGCTCTAGCTATTTGGGTTCTTTAAAAGAAGATTTTTTAAGTTTTTACTATATGCATATAGGGAAAATCAATGAACCCCTGGGGCGGGGCCAACTTTGACCCTAGAGCTTTTATTTGAACAAACTTGGTAGATACTCATTAGAAGATGTTTCATGCTAAATATCTTAGCTCTAGCTCTTTGGGTTCTTTAAAAGAAGATTTTTTAAGTTTTTACTATATGCATATAGGGAAAATCAATGACCCCCTGGGGCGGGGCCAATTTTGACCCAAGGACTTTTATTTGAACAAACTTGGTAGACACTCATTAGAAGATGTTTCATGCTCCATATCTTAGCTCTAGCTCTTTGGGTTCTTTAAAAGAAGATTTTTTTTTTAGTTTTTACTATATGCATATAGGGAAAATCAATGACCCCCTGGGGCGGGGCCAATTTTGACCCAAGGGCTTTTATTTGATCAAAGTTGGTAGACATTCATGAGAACATGTTTCATGCCAAATATCTAAGCTATAGCTCTTTTGGTTTTTTCTTTCGGTTGCCATGGCAACCAGAGTTCTGCATGGAATTAAATTCTTTGAACAATTTTAAAGGTGACCACCAAAGGAACATTCCTGTGAAGCTTGGATGAAATTTAGTGGTTTATGAGGAGATGTCATTTAAAGTAAAAGTTTACGGAAGGACGGACGACGGACGAAAAGTGATCACAAAAGGTCACCCTGTCACTTTGTGACAGGTGAGCTAAAAACAATAAAGAAAGTATGCAACTCTAAAAAAGTTACTACAAAGCATTAGTCTGGACACTAGGTGTTGTGTGTATAACAATATTAAGAAAATTTGACCAAAAAAAATTAAGGACTCCACTAAAGACACTCATATATCAGAGGCAAGAATTCTAACTTTACACAAACAAGAATGCTTATTTCAAATCAGACACGAATGAAAATGTTCAAATTTTTTTTTACAACATAACAAATAATATTGCCAACCTTTTTCTCTTGTGGCCCAGGTCTGAGCAGTGTTAAAATCTACTTGTCTATCTTCTTGGTTTTCACTTTTATTGTTGCCAATGGCTATTATATGAACCTGATAAAAAAGCAGAAACCATTTAAAAAAGTTCTTCCTAACAGACAAAACTATATTTCTATAGTGAAAATCATGAAAAATGTTGAAAGAATTTTTTTTATCATTTTCAATATATGTATTTTTGTATTACTATATTCCATAATTTAGTGTGATTAATAATGGCCTTTAATATGAAATATTTTTATTTCACAAATGTTTTCTGGTCATTTGTGCAATGAAATGCATGGGTCCTCCACAGTGGAGCCATATAATTTTTTGCTGATTTGGTATCACACAGTGGGTCCTACTGTAAGCCCACTTGTTCCTAAAATAATGCATGGATGGGCACCTTAAGATTTCGTTCACCAGTTTAGCTGAGATAGCTGATAAAGCCAATGTATGGCCTTAAAGCTACATTTAATAAATTTCATAAACAAGAGGGCCATGATGGCCCTGAGGTCGCTCACCTGTATATAGGCCCCCCACCCCCCCAACGTTGCAGGGCCAATTTAACCCAAGGGCTTTTATTTGCACAAACTCGGTAGACACCCATAAGAAGATGTTTCATGCTAAACATCTAAGCTCTAGCTCATTGGGCTTATTGAAAGAAGATTTTTTTAAAGTTTTTACTATACACATATAGTTAAAAACAATGACACCCCTGGGGCCGGACCAGTTTTGACCCCAGGGCTTTTATTTGAACAAACTTTGTAGACACTTACTAGAAGATGTTTCATGCTTAATATCTAAACTCTAGCTATTTGGTTTTTTTCAAAGAAGATTTTTAAGTTTTTGCTATACACATATAAAGAAAATCAATGACCCCCGGGGCGGGGCCAATTTTGACCCCAGGTCTTTTATTTGAACAAACTTTGTAGACACTCACTAAAAGATGTTTCATGCTTAATATCTTAACTCTAGCTATTTGGGTTTTTTCAAAGAAGATTTTTTAAGTTTTTGCTATACACATATAAGGAAAATCAATGACCCCCGGGGCGGGGCCAATTTTGACCCCAGGGCTTTTATTTGAACAAACTTGGTAGACACTCACTAGAATATGTTTCATGCCAAATTTCTAAGCTATAGCTCTTATGGTTTTTTAAAAGAAGATTTTTTACGTTTTTACTATATGTATATAGGGAAAATCAATGACCCCTGGGGCGGGGCCAATTTTGACCCAAGGGCTTTTATTTGATCAAACTTGGTAGACATTCATGAGAACATGTTTCATGTTAAATATCTTAGCTTTAACTCTTTTGGTTCTTTAAAAGAAGATTTTTTAAGTTTTTACTATATGCATATAGGGAAAATCAATGACCCCCCTGGGGCGGGGCCAATTTTGACCCCAGGGCTTTTATTTGAACAAACTTGGTAGACACCTATTAGAACATGTTTGATGCTAAATATCTTAGCCATAGCTCTTTGAGTTCTTTAAAAGAAGATTTTTTAAGTTTTTACTATATGCATATAGGGAAAATCAATGACCCCCCGGGGCGGGGCCAATTTTGACCCCAGGGCTTTTATTTGAACAAACTTGGTAGACACCCATTAGAACATGTTTCATGCTAAATATCTTAGCTGTAGCTCTTTTGGTTCTTTAAAAGAAGATTTTTTAAGTTTTTACTATATGTATATAGGGAAAATCAATGACCCCCCTGGGGCGGGGCCAATTTTGACCCCAGGGCTTTTATTTGAACAAACTTGGTAGACACCTATTAGAACATGTTTGATGCTAAATATCTTAGCCATAGCTCTTTGAGTTCTTTAAAAGAAGATTTTTTAAGTTTTTACTATATGCATATAGGGAAAATCAATGACCCCCCGGGGCGGGGCCAATTTTGACCCCAGGGCTTTTATTTGAACAAACTTGGTAGACACCCATTAGAACATGTTTCATGCTAAATATCTTAGCTGTAGCTCTTTTGGTTCTTTAAAAGAAGATTTTTTAAGTTTTTACTATATGTATATAGGGAAAATCAATGACCCCCCGGGGCGGGGCCAATTTTGACCCCAGGGCTTTTATTTGAACAAACTTGGTAGACACTCACTAGAAGATGTTTCATGCCAAATATCTAAGCTCTAGCTCTTATGGTTTTTTAAAAGAAGATATTTAAAGTTTTTTCTTTCGGTTGCCATGGCAACCAGAGTTCTGCATGGAATTAAATTCTTTGAACAATTTTTAAAGGTGACCACCAAAGGAACATTCCTGTGAAGTTTGGATGAAATTGGCTTAGTGGTTTATGAGGAGATGTCATTTAAAGTAAAAGTTGACGGACGGACGACGGACGGACGCCGGACGAAAAGCGATCACAAAAGCTCACCCTGTCACTTTGTGACAGGTGAGCTAAAAACTAAATAGCGACATTTCATTAATAAATTGGGTTTTATATCGACTCCAGGTCTTATTTTGGTGTCCAGACAACCAAAATGAGTTTTATTAGCATACAAATGTGTAACCTCATTGTGGCGAAATGGGAGGTACAATTTCTGTTTGCATGAGAACCTCCGCCTTCGGATCATCCGTACATCAATATTAAATCAACAAACATGACTATAAGTAGCAGTCCCAATTTAACGGTATATTTCCGCATTGTAACGGATGTTTTCATACAAATTTAATCTTTTAACGAGATGATTACTTTCACTGTACCCAAGGCTTAGTGCACCGTGAAGCTTAAACGGTTAGTGTGTTTGCACAAGAAAATATCATATATACCGGATAGCAACTATAAAACTGTGACATAGTGCATACACGGAGCTGATTATAGTCTTCATTTGCATGTTAAAATTCGCATAAAAACTTTAGTGTTACCGTGGGGTTTTCCCTTTAAAATCCTAATTTATGAACAAAATTTGATGAGATTTACAACAATACTGTTAAACAGGTTAATGAAACTATAGAATGTTTGATTTTTAGGCCGACGGCAAAATATTTTTACATATTTATTTAATGTAGCTTTAAAAGTTCTGGTATGACTTAGAACCTAGTAACAACAATACCATAATGCAGATATATGCGGAAATATAGTAAAGCCTCTGCAAAGCAACACCATTTGGGACATGAACATTTTGGTTACTGCTGACAGGTGATCTTTCAAGAGAGGTTATATTTATAATGAAGCCTTGCTGATTGATACAGTTGTTATAAAGAGATAATTGCTCTCTACAGGGTCATGTTAAGCACTTGAAAATTAAATGTTCTTTTTCAAAAGAACAAATAAATTTAAGTTTATCATAAATGACTGACAGTTACTTGTGAATCTTACTTCTTTTTTATCCTTGTTTTTGTCAATATCTCTCTTAATCTTTTCCAATTTCTGGAAGGAGTCCCAGTTTGTAACATCATATACCAGAACAAAACCCTGCAAAATAAATTTACAAACATTAACTATGTTATATATGCCGATAGCATTACTGACTTACATATATCACCAGTATAGAGACCCATGTAGACCAGCCTCCACATACATGCTGTCTAATAAGAATCAATGCTTTTGATATTTGACTTAAAGTTTAAACCCTGTACCTACTAGAATCAAAAAGTAGTTAACCTTTGCCACAAGTATACAGTCTGGCTTACCTACACATCCATGTAAACTGTTTGCTAACTTCCATTTTCAACTTGATATCTCCCCAAAATTGATATAAATGGACAGTTCCAAACAGTTTAAAACGGACAAGTCCATTCAAGGAATATAGCAGGTTAGGGGTTAACATATTAACATATGTTCTCTCAAAATACCAATGAATAGTAACATATTCAAAGCATGGCAAATCCATTATACAAACTCAATGGGTGTAAGGATTAAAATCAGCAATGGTTTTGAAAGAAAGAAGCTTTTATCATTCTATATAAATCAAAGGATATTGGATGATAAAAATCAAATTTTGGAAATGAAATAAGTGATATTGTTTGAGTCGAACAACAGACGTATAAGTGGTTTAAAGTCAACAAACTTAATCACTCAGCCACAAGTAATGAAAACACAACTTGGAAAATATGAAGAAAAAAACCCATACATACTTCAGGAAAAGTAAAAAAGTGTTTTGGCATGTCTGTTTTTGCTCCATCCTAAAATAAATGAAAAAGAAAGCTCTATTACACCAGATATTGAAGATAAATGTATCAAATTGTTTCTATAAATGAATGTGCTGGAGTGTGGCTTTATAACTATTGTGGTTTTTTTCTACCTTGACAATATTTCAGTTACAGTGTTTTAGAGTAAGACAAGTAACACAGAGTTAAGTACTGTGTTTAGGTACATTCAAATGATAACCCATTAAAGTCATATTATGCTAACACTGTGCTTATAAGTACTAGAACAATCACTTTAATACTGAGCCTCAAGTAGCACAGAAGTCGCCTTTTTCGTAATGTCTTTGGTACAACCTGGCCAAGCATATGAATAACAAAGGCCATGACTTTAACATGTTAAAACAAATACACCAAATACATAAATATATCACAGTAAGTTTTCACTGGTATGTTTATTTTATGTTAAAATGCATAATAATACCGGTATATATCATATAAAATATAGCGTAATATCTTACAAGCCCTCCTGTATCAAAAATCCTAACTTTTTCTTTCACCCCTCTATCTGTCTCTATCATTGCTGTATAAATATCCTCAATTGTTGAATGCATAGGCTGAAAAATATAAACCACAGGATATCAACGTTTATCATATAGTTACATCATAAAGTTATGCTTTTGATGTAAAAACAGTTATGTACCAGCAACAAGATTTTGCAGCCCTTAAAATACTAGCAAAGATATTGCCTTGCCACCAATATACTGTAACTAAACAGGGCTATACATATAGATTGACCCAACTTTTAAGGAAGAAGTAATTTCATGATTTTAGAGCATGACACCTGAAAAAATTAGTGATAAATATGAAATAATTTATCATAAAAGTCAGGGTTTTTCAAATAGTAAAAGTAGAAAAATGTAAGATCAGGGACAGGTTTCCAAACAAAGGCAGAAGTTAAAACATGCTAGGTGCATTGATTTGACCTAACTGTTCAGTCTTACTACTATATGGTCACAATGACTGACACTTTTAAGACAGGCAGGGATTTTTATTGGGTTGGGCTTATTTTAAAGCTGATATTGAGTCATATTCCCAACTGAAAATAGTATATTATTTTCCCGATCCACAGGAAAAAAATTCCCGATGGAAAGTTAAAAAGTAAAAATATTGAATAAAAAATTCTAAAATCTTTGAAAATAAGGGCTTCTTCACTGTAATTCTTTTTATTTCTAAAGATATTTAGAAAAGGAAAACTGTTCTAAAATGATTATAATGAGCACTAATAGATAAAATAATTTGTTAATATAAACAATTATTTAAAATAAGATATGGCGTTCCTATGCTTAAATGTTTTAAGATGACGTACTATACAGACTCAGTGATTGTTTGCATTCATTTAATCACTGCAAATGAAAAGTGTTTAATTAAATGTGTTTAGCTTTGATTTAAAAATCACATTAAATATCAGTTTTCAGATACACTCTGGGTATGATTTCTTTATTATCTTTTTCATTTTTTTTCTGTTTCAAGTGCCAAGTTGATCTATAGATGTAAGATTTTAAAATTAACATCATGGCATGTCCTTTCAGTGGAGCTCCTTAACTAGAATTGTAAGTGACAGGATTTTATATTTAGTGCATACAATGTAAATTGAACTAAATTCAATTGTTAAACCATATCTTCAACTTTAAAAAGTGATCATTAAGTACATATGTAGCAAGATATACAATTGATTTTTAAGAAACACCCACAGGGAAGTTAAAGTGATATTGTTATTATACAGTTATACTGAGAAAAATACGCATAAATAGGAGGAGGAACAGTACAAACAATAATAGTAATAATAATTTAATTGAATATCAGCTTCCTTCTCTATTGTTTTAAAGTGTTACTAAGGTTTTTCCCCATAGATACATTTCAATTATCATATCAATCAAATGTACATAGAACAGTACATACTTCATTACAATCCATATGTATGATTATATGAAATGGTTTAATCAGCAAAAAAAAAAATGGTTGCCAAACTAAATAATGGTTCCAGCCTTTAAAAAAAACAAAATCAGAATAATTTACTCTTTAGTACATAGTAACAACTAACATACCGTTCCAACTTTGTGGTTGTCATACATTAGTTGCTCTATGATTGCAGTTTTCCCAACACCTGCGTGCCCACATACCAGAATCTTGCTGATTTTTCCCATTTTTGTTATATTATTATAGCTCTGGACAAAAAAGAAATTACTTACATAACATGACAATAAATGAATAACTTTTGAATAATTTTAATCCATTAAGATTTGAACTACATGTATTCAACATGTTCCCAAATACCTTAATTTGTAGTGATTATAGGTATAGGCCACTTCCAACAACTGTGCTGTTTGGTCTAACCCTTTAGTGATGTGATTGAGTATCCACCTTGTAATCCAGAAGTCTGGTGGTTCAAATCCCATTCAGTGCCTGAGGATTTTTAGGTTTACAAATACTATACCCATAATAGCATTAATGTGTTTATATCTAAAATATGTCATTAAAACCAAGTTTGAAGAGCTTTGTTAAAGATATGTAAATTAGGAGTCAAGAAAAAACAAACACTATTTTATTACACTGTTAACTGTAGTGTAATTATATAATGTAAAACTGTTACTTGTTATTAAAAAAACTTTGTTTATTTATATCCGAAAACGCAACTGTCCGAAATTACCTCAAAGTACACAATTGGTAAACTACAACACGGGACGATGAATACATTTTAAAGATAAAACCAATACTTGTAAATACCAAATATGATTAGGAATTGAATAGTTTTTCTTTTCAAATGCATATCGTCATGTAGAAAATGGAAAATAATACTTACTCTATTAAATTGTTGTTGTTGTTGTGAAAACTTCTAATTTATTAGCGAATAAGTAAATATGTCATTATGATCTTAGGGGTAAATTTTTGACTAGCTCCATAATACATGTATATCAGAGACATAGATAACATATAGATAACAGAGATTGGCAACTTCCTAGCCAGTAAAAATATCACGCGTGCCTGCTTAACTTAAAACTTGTAGCAAGTAAAACTTATATTAACCAGATATCAAAATCAGTAAAATAATACATTTTCTGAAAGCATACAGTATGCATTTGGGTATGGCTGCAGGTAAAAATATTTACAGTTCCCATTTAAATAAATGAAACACCAATTTTTAAAGAGAACTACTTAATAATTTTTGTTTCAAAAATATTCATATGACGGAAAAACAGACTCAGTGGGTATGTTCTGCTATGTTTTTCTAAGTGAAAGTTATGGAAAGTTACCAATATTTTAACATGCAGCAATAGATAAAAGATTTACCTTTCAAATGGTATATAATATTAAATGATCAAATGTACACCCATTAAGTTTTATTTGCAACAAAATGCCAAATTTTTCACTTTTTGAAAGGCATGAGTGATATTTCAATAGATAATATAGGAGGTGCTTATCTCTGTTATCTATGTCTCTGTGTATATGAAGTTCTGCTCTTTTTTTTTTCGTGGACGTGTAGCCTACATCAAGGAAACAGATACGTAAATTACAATTTGAAAGTGTGACCGGTTACGACTGAATCTGTCTGGCACTTGTTTGTTTGTTTAAATTGTTTTTTGCGTGTGTGCGTGGTCTTTTTTGTTTTTGTTTTTGTTTTCAGAAGGGCAAATATGAATTTTAAAATGTTAAAGTAATGTTTTTATAGCATGTTAGCTGCTTGTCACATGAAAGATAGCGATATTTGTCATAAAAGTCAGGGTATAAAATTTCCAATAGATTCTATTTGAAAAACCCTGTAATAGTAGAAAAATGTAAACAAGGTAGTTTGTTGACTTCAATACAAAATACTAAATCACTATAACTGTATTTATTGCCAAAAAAGCAACAGAAGAAAAAGAAGGTTCAGATAATTGACCAATGAGTAACCTTTTGGAAACATAAAATACATTCAAAATTAAAAAAATATTTTTTTTTATTTGGGATTATACCGTGATTGAAAGTAAAATTAAATAATTTGTTTATATGTACATTGGTATCATTTTTGGCAATGTAGTTTTTATATGTCCGTTTGATATAGAACAGAACAGAACAGAACTTTTATATACAGGTATTATCTAAGCCAGGACATTTATCATTTTTCAATGTATTATATATAATTGCATATACTTTTATCATTTCTTGATCTCTTAACTCTTCAATCAATTCTTTATTTTTTCCCACGAGCTTCATTTTTTGCCATTATTTTCAACCTCGATATATATATATATATATATATATATATATATATATATATATACACACAGGTCATCTTGTTTTTCACTGCTTTTGTTCACATAATTTCTAATTTTCCAGTAGTGTTTGGTTTGATTTTATTTTCTACTTTATCTGATTGAAATTTCGTATGTATTTTTCTCAATTCGGCATTGTATAACATCTTTTGATACATTTTAAAATTGTTTTATTTCTAATACTGTTATATTTGATAAGAAATTAAGTGCATTTTTGAAGCTAATATTTGCCGTCATTAATTTCTGTTTTGTTTCGTTAAAACTATCATTACTGTATGTAAATATATGTTTTGAAATACTTATGTCTAAGTCATAACTTAAAAGCAATTGTATTTCTAATTGTATTTTGATATAACCAAATCGTTATCTAAAATTGTATTTATTCAGGACTTCTAATCCAATGGTTATTTGTCTCTCATCGCTGATTCATGAATCCTGTGCAAATAGTTGTCGGTGATCACTTGCAGAGAATTTGGTCATGGTCATCCAGTAAAGCATGAAAGGCTTTTATTTTCAATAAGGATCCTCATGTGTGTGATTAACATTTTGGTTTGTGCCGCTACAGATATCAAAATAATCACAGGAGCCCATATAATTATGTACTAGTATATATGGAATAAGTCATGACTATACTGATAAGTGGTTATATTTCTACCACTACCCGCTAACTCGTTACTCGTATTTCCTTTGTGGAAGTTGAGCTCGGGCTTTGAATCTAATGGTCATTTTTCTCTGACCTCTGACTCATGATGACTTTGTAGTCGATAACTTGCGGATAAAGTAAATTCATATATTAGACCAATTATAGTACTATAAACTTTTTTTCAAATTTATTTCATAAAGGAATGAATATTTTTATTCATAAATGTATTAACACTTTGAGATATAAAAAAGTGTTTTTTTTTCTACTTTCGGAATATATAAAATGTACATACATGCATTTGTATATGATATATATGTACAAGAAAATTAAATTGCCGATCGCATTTAATTCCTTAAAATGCACATGTACCTGTATCGTAATTAAAAGAAAAATATACTTTATAAATAGTTTTAACAGTCTTGGTAGTTCCGAAAAATCAAGAGTAAATATTACTCATATACTAAAATCAAAAGTTATATATGATAATGATAATATTGTAAACACTTAAAACATTGTATATATCAAGACCAACGGTTGTTGGTTTCACTGGTGTCACAGCAATCGTGCATGCAGTCTGGAAATCTGACATCAGTAACATACTTGGGAAAATCTGTTTCGTTTACGACCTTGCCTGAACATCATCTTCTAATAGTTTTCCACTTTGTATAACTTCTTGTTCTATTGACTCATGTGGACCCCATTTTTCATTCGGTCGTAGATTGACCTTAAATCTCTGGAACGAAAATACTAGTCAAAAGATAATCCATGATTATACTAAATGAAATCTGAATTATATACCCAATATAGTTCAAGACGTTTCAATTTAAAACATATATTTTGAACAACAACAGTTTTAATTGCCATTGTTTCAATAACAAGGTGGACTGTATTTGCTAAAATTTTTAAAATAAAAAAACACAACTACTGTATGCTATACATTTGGCTAAGACGTCTGATTGTTTAAAATGAGGAAACATACATGTATCATTACATTAATGCTGGTTCTTTCAGGTTTGTATTTGAAAGACCTTGGTTAATTTTCATTCTTTAGTTCAACATTTGAAGAATATATATCACGACATAACAAGAAAGGTAATTGAGTCTAATTATAGAGACAAGTAATATTTGTAACTGTAAGTATTAAACAAATTACCTCTAGTATAGTTCCAGGTGTTTTATATAGCCGGTAGAAGAGGTATAATGGTATAGGCACGAGGGAGGAGGACGATATACACCAACCTAAACTGATATGCCAGGGCTCGTACTCGTAACTGCCATAGGATGGAGGTTTGTACGTATATACGGTGAAACCGAGAGTAACCTATAGTATAATTTGAAGCTCTGCTAAAATATCACGTTTACAAATGCAGCACAATATAAATTTAGTTTGTCATGAAGATTCCTATTAAAATCTGGAATCATAAGAATACGATGATGGATCAATATGTAATGCAATATGAAGTATATTTTCTAATTATGCACGTGATTCTTGTGTTTGCGTACACTATTCTTTGCCTCAAAGCATCGGCTTTCAAATGCTACCAAAACCATGTGTGTAGTCAACCGACAAGGAACTGTATTCACATTTGAAAATACGTTAAACGAGTAACTTCATGTAAAATATGGCTGGTAAACGCTCAGTGAAAAGTGTTTCGAACAAAACTACGAAAATCTGCTATAATTAAATGTCTATAATGATATTTGTAATATTTATGGCAACAATTAAGTATCTTAGGCAACTGTTTCAAGGTGAATGCATAAGTTCAAAAATGGGAATGAGTCAATTAAAGATGCATGTAAGTCTGGAAGAAAACGCTACATAGTTACTGACAATAACATTCACAAAATCAAACTTATCATTGACAAAGATGACAGACTTTCACTAATATGATTTCAAAAAGACCAACCACACGCGTACATTCAATTATTTTTTATTCAAATCGATTTCGAACTAGTATGTTCTTCGTCAGTGACTTTCACTAACACATATAAGGCAAGGATATCAAAAGGGTCAATGCATACTATTCTGAAGAATCGCCTGAAAGATCGGCGAGTAACTGCCAGATGAATACCCATTTGCTAACATTTGAACAGAAGAGGGGCGAGTTAAATGCGTTAGAAATTACGAAAATGTCTGTTAACCATGACAGTCGCCGCTTTTTCTAATATTTTGACAGATGATGAAAGCTGGTTTCACTATTTTACGCAAGTGTAACAATAAGATTTTGTCCACCAAAATTGTTCGTCGACTATGCTCTAAGCAATTGACAAGAGTAGAAAAGGGGTTGGGCCGACCATTTTTCTTTCAGTTACTGAAAGGTCTTTTGTTAAATATTTTGCATTACATATTGACCTCCCCTCGTATGTTTTTGCAAAAATATATAAAACTGGAGTCATGTATACTAACATTTTGTAATTGTGATTTGTCTGAATTTGTAATACACGGCATTGCTTATGGTTTTTAAGGTATTAAACATATGTAGATAATATGAACTCCATTACTTATCTTGTATAACAGGTGATTGTTCTAAAAGTATATCAATGACTACACATTCAAAACCTACATGCAAGAGTATTCAGCCAAATTTCGATGCTGGTAATAATGAAGAAAATGAAAGTGCTCTTTATGCAATACCTCAATCTTGAGCAACATAATATTACCCAATTAACAAGAAAAAACATACCACTAGAAGAATAGGAGTTGTAACACACCAAGCAATTTTGAAGAGGATAGGTACCCCCTTTCCTGTCATCTCCCGCATATTTGCATCAACTCTTTTGACACCTACAAAGTTGCATGGTATGATAAAAGGCAAAACTTGTATTTGTAATGGGAAAAATAAATTACTCTTCTGTAAACAAATCTACATTAAAGTCTTAAGGTTAGGTTTTCAAAGATAATGAAAGCAAACACTGAAAAGTCACCATATAGCCTTGATTACAGTTGGCGAGACGTAAAACCCAACAAAAGATAAAAATAGATTACACAAATACTGATTAAAATGGCATTTGAAAATGTTTGCATATTGTATTGCATAAATGTTTATTTATTATTCATATTGTTTAGTGATCCGTATTAAATCCTGAGATAGAAGTGAAATATTTTACTATATAGTGTAACATAGAAGACATTTTCATAAGAAAAGAAACATTACACGTTTTGATCATGCGTAATCAAACCTTCATTTGCTCTCGGTTTGTAAATGGTCGTAAACTTGTATGACCAAAGCCTCTAGCAAATAACCATAAAGTAATTTGTCAGAAAAGTCTTTGACAACGATGTGAAGATGTGCAACATGCAAAATTGCTTAATTTGTGATTGGTTAAAGTGATTTCATAAATTTGCAGTAGCTATGTATGTGAATAATACAAACTTCGCGGTTGTCCAATGAAAAGGGACGTTACAAACTTGCAGTATTATAATACTGCGGATGTCCAATGGAAATCGACGTTACAAACGTGTAGTTATAATTAAAATCAACGTACCGTAGATGAACGTCATCACCAATAACTCCATCAGAGCAAATATTGTCATTGAAAATGTTGCTGCATACCAGTCTACCAATGTAAGTAGATAAAAACCACCCTTTATAATAAAAAATATTTAAATGTCACGGCGTTGGTATCATACCATTGTGTGTACATTATTATAATGTATTCTCGTTTTAGAAGAATAAAAATCGTTTTATATTTTATAATTGTACTCGGAAAAAATGCTCGACATTCATTTGTAAAATAATGGTCATGCCATCCGAAGCCTTTTCATTTAATCGAATGATCATGAAGACTTCAATCAGAACATTGATGGAAAATAACCCGAAATTAATTTAAAAACCGTTAAAAGTCTTTAACTCAAACCAGGCTAAAAAACACACATGAATACGATTTTCAATTTCATTACGAGTAAATTTCATTATATTTTTTTGCAAATCTTATCGTTTAAGCGATCAATGTAAGAAATTCAACTTTAATTTTATTTAGCCATTTGACCTCAATGGAGATCCTTTAAAGATAAAACGGTTGGAGACAGTGATACTTCCAACCAATAGCACACACAAACTATGCAAACAAGAACCACATAAATGGTTTCCAGTACATGTATTTAAGTTTTATTCAAGTGTTACAATGGTTCCACAAGAACGCATTTGTTTATGAGCAGATGACTTAGCAATGCATAGAAAAGGCGGGACAATTCTATTTTTAAACATTCTATCAATAATAAGTGTTTATTTGTTGTATAGAGGGGTGTATTTGCTGTTATTTCTTAAATATTTGCTTATATTTTTCAATTATTAGAATGTCAATCTCCTAGCTGTGGTTTTATCAATACATAGACAAAAAAGTCGACCTTTATGTTACTTTTAAGATAAAAAACACAAGTTGTTTATGGTTCATTTGACCATTTTTAATTTATCAAATGGTATTTACCCGCGTGACTTGTGGAATAGCGAGCAGGAACGCTAACACAATAACAATCAGGGTAAGTAAAGTTGTTTTTCCCTTGAAATGTTTGTTAAACTCGTCTTGGATCGCTGTTACAACAATTTCGTAGTTTGGAAACTATAAAAGAAATTTAAGACATCAGTTTATTTTTGAGCAAGTTAACACTGGCAAAATCTAATTCTTTACTTATATGAATCACAAATGTAGTTAAAGCCAAAAGTAATTAAGATAAAAGAAAGAAGTGTTTGTAAAGTATTGTCCAACGTATGAATTATATATTAGTGCATACATAAATTTAAGAAAAACTGATCAAAATGGTTAAAAATGACCAAATGACTTCTCAAAGTCTTATATTTTTATATATATTTTTGACATGAAGTTTAGTTACTGCTCTGATATCATGGGAAGCTGAAAAAATACATTTAGGTCTTTTGTTGATAATGGGTCTGTACCTTGCAATCTACAATTCTAATGGCGGACCTTTGTACACTCAGTAATATGAAAGAAGTGTGTAACTCACAAAATTTATGAAAAACAGAAATCAAAAGCATAAGCAACATTCCTACCTGTGAATCTATACCTAAGCAGATAGACATAAAGAAGAATAAGGCACACCAGAGTTGAGGAGGAGGTAAATAATTAGCCGCCTCAGGATAAGCGATAAAACCTAAACCATATCCTGTATAAAATAACAAAAATCTGCGACATGAAAATCTTTCAGCCTAACCATATGGACTATGTTGTAGATTTGATATTGTAACTTTGTCACTACTCTTTACTATTTCTATTTAAAGTTTGTAATTTCTTTTCAGAATGCATTTCAACAAACCTACGGCAACACAAATTTTCTATAAATCCATGTTTGCAAAAGTAACTGATTTTTATTGATTGTTCATCATTTAAATACTATGAACAAAATGGGTTAACAGAAGCTACCTGATTGATTAAAATTTTCAATGTTGATCCCTGTTTCATGAGCAACGTGTCCAAGCACCGAGAAAATCACAAAACCTCCGGCAAAACCAGTCAACAAATCCATTAAACAAACTATAATAGCATCCCTGAAAAAAAATGTTCTTAAGTTAAACCATATAAATAGTTAATTGCGGTCCAAGCTTGTCGGTATAATGAGCTAAAGTACCAAAAGAGCTGCAGAATCAGTCTTAAAATCCATACTATTCTATATACTGTTTTAAATAGAATTTTTAATCATAAATAAACTACCTCTCGATAAGTCAAGTACAACAGATATCGAATACAGTACTTAAGAACAAAGTTGTCGTTTATGTGCTATTGATTATCAGCAATAATCACAGTTCAAAAAGTAAAATAGAGAAAATAGGAATCCATAAAGAAAGCCCAACACGGGAATATAGACAAATTGAAAATGTTGCAGGCTCGGTTTGATTGGCCTCTTCATGGACGGTACTGTCAAGAGCAAACTATCGTCCACGTCCCCTAGCACCGGCTTGAGCAAATTTTAAATTCAACATTTTACATGAACTGGTACAATTTTGAATTTTGAAACATCCGCAGATGTGTCCATATGGCGGTTATCATGGAACCTTGAATGTGACACGTAAGTGCCATTTTTGAAAAGCAGCATAATTATGGTCCCCAAGTAAAAAAAGCGTGTGCCCTAAACGAGAAAACAATGGGCGGAACTAAATATATGGAATTTTGAAAGGGGATCAGAGGTTATGAAGCCTGCATATCACAGATATGACGTCAGAAGACAAACACCCGGGGTTACTTGGCTGTTAAAGAACATGGCCCAACAAAAATACGTCAAATGTTGCTTCAAAAATATCAATGTAAATACATCCTATTTTAGTTAGAATCGCCCCTTATGAGCAAAAAAATGTAAATTGCAAATGTATTTTTATTCAGAATAAATTACCTCATACAGTTGTTGGTAAACTTGTTGTAACTGGCGAAAGTGATCATTCCACCAAAGCCAGGTCCGACCGAAATAAAAACTTGCATGCAGGCTTCAGCCCATATCTAAACATCAATATAGAATTCGGTTGTATGAAATTTAATGAACATTTAATAACATAAATTAAACTAATATAGGGTAGTGGTAGTTTATCCCCGGATCACGGCAGTATGCCACATTGAATTTACCAGAGCACAGTTCAGATCAAGCAATTTAACTTCACTTTCGCAAGGAACTGATAACTAATGTTACATGCCAGAGCAGAGTTACAGTGCAAATGGCCGTTGAAAGGATTTCATGACCAATCACAAGTGTACCCGAGTCGCCCGATTCACAGTCCAACGCTCGACCTATTTTGAGCTAACCAGACGGTCGGACTAATATATGATATAGGTATTCTTATTTATGTGTCAGGAATGTAACTATAAAATGTTTTCATGTATTTTAACATATCTTTTTATACAAATACAGACTTTTTAGCTGATGAATATGATGTGATATGTAATGAAACAATTGATAATGGATCTGAAGCAAAACTACAGTAAATATTATTTACTAGTTATTGACAGTATAAAATACTCACTTTAGTTTCTTTCAGTTTACTGAGGTCTGGAGTTATATAATATTTAATTCCAATGTCTGCTCCCGGCAGGATGGACCCTCTTACAAGAAATACAGCAAGTAAGACAAAAGGTCCGAGGACAGTGAAGTATACAACCTATCAAAACAATTTAATCCTCTCACTTTCATAATAAATGTTCAATAAAAACTCATTAATTCCATTTAATGGCATGCAAAGGTTTTATACATTATTAGCTTACAATTGCCGAAAGTGTTAAGTTTAATGCATTTTTTTTAACTTGACGACACTCAAAGAAAGTTACTTTATACTCTTAACTAAAACATTAAATATCTCTAAAAGATTTATTAAATGTAAGTGTTATTTTACCCGCCAAAGTGTAAATGGTGAGTGTTCAGGTAAGAGTCAAAATAACTTTACATTTTGCAATAATGGCTTTCAATTTTATATTCTGCATCACAAACTAATCAGTATGTCACATGACCTCGGATGTTTCTAGAAATACGCTTCTCGTAATTTATCGTTAACGCTCAATAATAGAAAGACTGGAATATTTGTTTATACTTTAAGCATTTTTTATATTTTATCCTAATATTTCATTATTATCAATCACCGTTATAAAAAATATATTGCTAATTCTGTCCAGATTCTCAACAAAATGTCACTTTAGTAGAAGATACCTACCTTTCCAGTCAACCGCACTCCCTTAAATATACACAAGAAGCACAAAACTTCTATGACAGCAAGACATCCCAGAAGCGGCAAGTTGATGGAGCCTAATTCATCTAAACCGTTGGATATATCCAAAGCTTTATATCTGTTTTGAAAATTCAAACACTCATTATTACGCATTAACATTAACAAAACAACAGGACAGGGCACATGGGCAAAACACGGACAGGATGTCATCAACCTACAAGGTAATCAAAGATGAAAATTAATCAATTAAAATAAATGATAAGACCTATAAGAATAAGGGGGAAGGGGGTTAGAAAGAGGGGAGGGGTGGGGGTACAAGTCTGAGGAAAGGGGAGTAATAACCGTAGATGTCACTAACAGTCAATAGTAAATAAGATATACATCTAAGTAACACAGAAGTGCCCGCCTTTAATTGGTCAGCAGCATAAGCACTGCTGGGGAGTTTAAACCGGTTAATGGTCACCAAAGACTGTATAAATAAAATGAATCCCCGCCAAGTGAAATTCTTACAGTTTTTATGGTTACAATCGATGAATTAAGTAAAATATGTGATTTCATTGCATTAATCACAACAAAATAACATAAAAAAATTTTAATTCGGTTTGATTGAGTGTGTACATGAGGGATAATGTAAAAGTGCAATATCCCTCACGCCCACTAACACCGGCTTGTGCGGTCCTCAATTTCCAACACCTAATAGTACTGGAATAAATGATCCCGAAGGACTAGAAAAATATATAAACACTGAAGTGCAGTTCGGGCTATGCTCATGATGATTCATAAAAAAGGAAACCAAATCACCATATTAAAGATATACAATGACTTAAATGAAGACAGAACAGCAAGAGTATCGCCTACAAGGACCTGACGAAACAAGACAGAAGATGAAAATTAAGACAATTCAGTCCAAAAGGGTTTTAAGAAATGTCCATCAGTCTCCCACTTCGTCAGATGTAATCAAAAGAGGAAAGCGTAGCTTTCAACTGTAAAAGGGTTAAACACTAAGCGTGTAGTATGTCTTGTAATACAAGGGTTATAACCGTTTTTAATAAAACTTTTAATTATCTAATTATTTTAGAAAAGGCATCAGAAAACTTATCATGACCCAAAATCTTACAATGTTTGTAAATCACATCTCCATGAAAATCAGGCTTGCTAATCCCTAGTCGCAATCGCTATTGAATTTTGAAATAAAATCTTAATTACGATTATAAAATTTAGTAAAATATTTTCGTAATTAATGATTGCAGTAGCTCTCTTTTAGAAGTGTCCTAGTAATGAAAATATTACGTTCGTTAAAATCGATTCCCTAGAGAATATAACTGAGATACATATACCCCGTAAGATGTTGCATTGGGTACACCTCAATCTAAATATGGATAGTTGACTGTCATCTCTCTAATCATAGATTTTTGTGGGAATAGTATTGTTATCGATTCTAATATGAATTCCGAAAATGAATAAATTTTCAGGATTCGTTTTATTCAGTTGAAGTTCATTGGGATAGAAATTAGACATCATTTTATCAAAATAAACATTATCTAAATTATTATATATAATATATATATATTTCATCAAGCTGTCGAGAATTGTTATTTTTAAAATGTTACAATTGCATCTTGTTGTGTATCTTCAGAGGGGCTTAACATAAAGTCTTTGTCATCTACCTAGTGACCTCAGGTCGATGTCTTAAAACTTATATAGACATATATGACGAATTACCATGACTATTGCCAAAGTGCTAAAAGATGTTGTAATTGTGGAATTAGTTACAGCAGTACTAGTAATGTAATTTGCAAAGATCATTCGTACAACTTACTTGTTTTGGTTCACATCCTACAGATGAAAGAATGTTCTCGCCGAGTTATATGATTATTTCTTTGATCTTTGATTTCTAAAAGCCCATAAGTATCTCTTTTCACCCGTTAGCAAACACTTTTTCTCGCAAGTCCAGTATATAAAATGAATGAACACAGATATTTCTTAAAAAAGTCATCTGTGTGCGTGCGTCAAATGGTTTAATTACTTCATGCTCGGAGATATAAGAGGGAGACAATAAAAACAGTAAAAGTGTTAGAAGATACATGAAATAACTTACTTCCAAAATTGTTCGGCTGATGTTGATTTTCTTAATTGTGAAACATTTGAAGCAAAAGACATTCCCGTTGATGCTGATGTCGAGATAAAGGTCGTTATATTTCTAATTACCGGTATTGTTTCAATTCCGGTTATTGTTTCATTGGCAGCGTTTGTCTCCCCTCGAGTAATGCAGACTTCCGTTTCCTGTATATTCCACTCGTTCTCGCATGTGGTCCAAGGCAGTTGTTTGGAAAAGGAATTTATAAAGTAGAAAAACATCCAACCGATTATCACAGCGTAATAGACAGAAAACAGGAAGGTCGAGACCAGTGTGCCATAGCCAACTCCTAATAATTAAAAGTAAACATGAACCAAGCTTGTGTTGTTTGTAGTACTAGGACCATTATGAAATCATCTCTATAACGTTAAATGATTAAAGATTGTATCATAGTTTGGGAACCTTTCTGTTGAAAATGTGTCCGAGTTAAATCGTATACATATACATGCACCGTGCGTTAACTGGAGTGCAGGTATTAGTTACCCACACTCCAGAGCATGCCCATTGATCTGCTCATTTTTGCTGGGGTTTACTTATTGTGACGGCAGAGAAAGTGAAAGCGACAGAAATATCATATTCAGATGATCGTTTATTGGTTACTTTTCTCCGGGGTTTCATATTGTGACTACAGGGAACGTGTTTTTATGTTTAACTATGATAAAAAAGAGAAAGAACATCAAAACACTTGGCAATCTGATTAATACTCGGGGGCCACGCCCCCTCGTTCAAATCAGATAGCCTCGTGTTTCGATGCTCTTTCAATTACTTAGTGAATATCAATTGATACCAAAGCATCGATGCAGTGTTTCAGTGTTCAATTCAATGTTTACTCTTTCAAGATTCAAAACGTTTTAAAAATTCATTCAATGGATATTGCGAGTCTTTGAGAAAACAAATATATTTCTTATTTTGACAAAAACTACTGTGATTTATGTGTAAAAGGGATTCCATGGCAATTTAAATGGACTTACCTTTCAGCAGCGGACACACGTTCCATACAGGGACTGCCCCAGATTGGGAGTATTGTCCCATAATCATTTCAAGATACACAATCGGCATTGCCCCAAATATGTTGAATATGATAATTGGTATCAGAAAAGCACCTGTTATTATAAATAACTAAAATTTGATAATGTTGATGAATTCGTACATTAATGGTATCACAGTCTCTTATCATTTTGATCAAAGCGACCTTCAGCTTTTCACATGTCATCAAGAGACACTATACTTTTGCCGGATATCCCCTCCATATATACCACATATGAATTATCGATTCAAATTCAGGAGATCTGGGGAAAAAACTGAAATAAGGCAATAAATGGTGGCATTTTCTTTACAGTATGGAATGGAATGGGATTTGATATTATGCTTATCAGTAGATTTTCAAATTGACATAAAGCCATCTCTGATGAACTTAATTTAACGTAACGCAGCTTTTTTGACAACTTAATACGTACATACACGTTTACAAAAAGCTTAGTTGCACCAATATAACCTACATTTTTGTTACCGTATACAGCCTAGTTTTTATACGAAAGGTTTTATTAGACAGGCGTAGCTCATTAGACCGTTTTACATCAAGTCCTTGTCATGCTTAAACGTTTTTTCTAAAGATTAAGACTTTTATATATCAAGATGTTCGAATTACCTCCCCCATTTTTCATCACAAGGTAGGGAAATCTCCACAAATCACCAACGCCAACGGAGTACCCGACAGAAGTAAGGAAAAACTCTATTCTTCTGCCCCATTGTTGACGTGCCATCTCAATGATCTGAAAAATGATAGCAGGAAGAGGTGAACCCGTATTCGTTATTCTAGTGAGACTGAAAATAGTGATTGAGCACCACACTAAATACGATAGTCGGGTATATGCCGGACAAGGCGCTTGAATAATTAAATGCTGAACTCGCACCTTTTCATTTATCGGAATGACCTTTAAAACAACTAATTCGATTCTGAATAGATGTAAAGTGTTTGTTCATATACCAACATTTATCATTCTTGCCAAATATTCCTGGCTTAGAAAGAGGTCCTTTATTTTATTGAACCTGACTGCAATTGAACCTGACTGCAAGCAAAGTTTAAAAAAAACGTCAAACAAATACATTAAAAATAAAATTATGTCAACATCAATTTTAATATGGCCCGTCACTTTAATTTATTTTGATAATATTTTTCTTATTAAATTTAGCTAAACGCATAAAATGCTACATATTGTCTTCTTCTTGAATTTTGTATTTATTCAAAAACGCCAACCGTTCCATAAATAAAATATTGGAAAGGCAAACTGTATGTTGAAAGTAAATGAAAATTTAATCATAAAACAGTACTGCTCAAACGCACGAATCTTATTTCTCATTATAGAATAAATGAAATCTACTTGAAAGTTATTTAAATAAAATATAAAAGAAATTATCAACCTAAAATTGAAGCAATAATAAAAGACTGTTTTGAAGAAATAATAGATGTGCACTACAAAAGATTTTTGTCGCACCGGCATAGTAAATGTCATATAGCGACTTTCCGGCTTTACTGGTGGAGGAATGCTTCAGCCACCCTTCCCAGGACTAGAGTCAGGAACAACCCCATCTTCCGTATGTGAGTTGGATAGCTTCTTTACAATAGAAATTGAAACTTAATTTATTGATATTTATATCAAATCAAAGCCAACAGATATGTGCTAATTATAAAATCTATTTGTTTATATTTCTCTATTTAAAAGCAAAAGAAAGGGCACACTTATATAATAAATAAAGCCAAAAATGCATTTGTATTTATTGTGTGGATAATAGAGTATAATATTTAGTTCAAAGATAATTAATTTACATTTAAATATATGTTAACACACTTGAATGAAAATACTTCATACCAGAAAATGCAAAACAAACAACTTTATTCAAAACACATATAGTGTCCTAAATCTGTCACTTGCTCGTATGATTAATAATTTAAAAATGCGTGGATTTTTAAAGTTAAAATAATTGTTATTATGTAATGTAGATGAGTATCAAAGGTCAATGCCTACAGTATAGCCTAAATTAACTTGAGAAAACGTACACAGAATAGAAAAAGATTCAAGATTCGAGAAAAAATTTACATGTTACAAATTATTGATTTTTGCAGTATTTATCATTACATTTCTACTGTGTGACTTACACAGTAAGGACTATCTTTGCATATTTGGACGTCTTTCTGGTAATTTACGTACATTATAAGTGATGTTTGCACTGTGTAAATTTACTTTATATGTTATAATTATATTCTAAATTCGTTTTCAAAATTTCATGAACATAAGTATGAGTCTTTGGATATGCTGGTTTACAATTGCCACCCACACACACAAATCCGTCAGCATAAATAACCGACAAGAAATCATGTGAACTCTTTCCAGTTTGCATCTTTTCTACCTGAAGTATTGTTAACCATTGTCACACCTTAATAGTTCATCCACTCGTCGCTGATGTCTGCACAGCGGATTTACAGACGAGCTCAACATAGAAGTAGAAGTAGAAGATGATAATCAGTTCCCATTTACATAAAGTAGCATTCTTAAGAGATTCCTTCCTTATTTTAAATTGAAATTTCTAAAATGGGTTAAAAATGATCTCCCCTTAAAAGGCGTCTTTTGTAAGCAATTCGAGCTTGCATATTTGTAACTTTTTGCATTTCTTAAATTTTTTTGCGTTGTTTAACGTTTCAAAACAAAGGAATAATAATAGCATTGTGCTTTAAAATTGGGAAGACATGTGTAAATTAAAGCAAAAGATGATATGTACAGAATAAAACTAGAATATGTCATACACTTACTTTTTTAGCACTTTAAATGCTTTGAACAATATATGTGTATCCTTTAATCAGCCTCCTTTTAAATATGAATTATTTCAAATCCTTACGTTATCTGAATCAGATTTTATAACTACTTAATTTTGCACGTGCACAGTGTAAATGATTTGTTTTTGATTACTTTGTCTAAAGCTATGGTGGCTGATTTGCGCCATGTCGTATTTTCGTTTTGTTGCCTCAAAAATGCGAAAAAGCAAAAACACGAAGAGTCGACAAAGTGTCGTCTCTTCGTGTTTTCGCTTTTTCGCATTTTCGAGGCAACAAAGCAAAAATACAACAGGAGGAGGGCGAAAATACGACACATAAAATCTGTCGTATATTCGCATTCCATTTGTCCTATTTTCACTTTTTCGCATTGTTACATTTTCGCATTGTTACATTTTCGCTTTTTCGCATTGTTACATTTTCGCGTTCCGGTTGCACATGCGCACGGAGACATCAATCTGAAAATACCTAAACGTTACAGCTAATGACATTTTTTGTACCATTAGTTTATTGTTTCCCTGAGTTAAGTACCGTGAACTTAGAGAAGCACAGTATAATACAATATGATCTAAATACAATATATTTATTGATTTTTTATGAATTTTAATTGTTCTCCTTTTATTGATATTCGTGCAATATGGGGAAGACAGAATGACAATCAAGAGATCTTTGTTTTAAAGACTTGAGGAACGCCTGACCACATGCATTGGTATAATGTTATAATGAATACAATGATTTTAAATATTATACTATATATTTTAAATGCAATAGAAGCCACTGAAGAAGGCTGAATGATCGGGAACTATGACGACCAAATGTTTTCATATGTGGTTTTCTTCTTTCTTTTTTATTATTAAATTAAACCATCAAACTTTTTTTTCAAACTTAATCCAACATGCTCTCTACGTAATCAAATAAAGTTTGTCTTACAAAACTCTAGTACTAGATAAAATGTTTTCCTGTGAAAATACACCTCAATCACAGACATATCTATTTTAAGATGTGTGCGGGCATAAATGTCATGTCACACCCGTCAGCAAAATAAACTGATAATCTAAAGATGGTTGGAACAAATTACTTATTATAATAATAGTTGCATTAATTGATTTAGAGAGGATTGATGTTGGGAAAATGTTCATCCTAACGGCATTTTTTAGTACAGGCTTACTTACCTATTTCGAGTACGCTGAACTTATTTTTTGCTCTACCACGGCTTTATTTTTAGTCCTTGACCTTTTAAAAATCAATTCAAAATGACCGCCATTGTTTTTTAATTTTTACTTTAAGGCTCCTATAGACAAAATAAAACACATCTTTTTGAAATTTAATTGAAAGTTTTGCTTATTTTAGTCAGGGTCTTTCTATTTTAAAGACCCTGTTTTAGTTTGCTGAAGTGTGAACGAGAAGAATAAATGAGGAAAAAAAGATAATTGTAATGCTGCAGCCATTTTGGATTTAAAAATGGCTGCTTTGTACTGATTAATATTTAACGTAAACACACGCAATAAGGCTTTTTACTTGGCTTGCTTTCTTTTATGATAATAAATAAATGATGACTTTTTACAATGTCGGAATTTTTTTTAATTTAAATTTCTTTTATATTAATAAATAAATGATGACTTTATGCGACAACAAAATATATAATTTAAGATTTAGGTCACAAAAAAGAGATTGTATTATAATGGACAAGACCTTAAACAAATTATATTAAAGACACAATTTTCTTATTATGGCATGAACATTTGGAACAATATACCTTTAAAAAATCGTAATGTTAATAACCTTAAATGTTTTAAAGAAAAATACAAAACATATCTTGATGTTCATTTGAATGAATGAATGAATGAATGAATGAATGAATGAATGAATAAATGAATGAATGAATGAATGAATGAATGAATGAATGAATGAATGAATGAATGAATGAATGAATGAATGAATGAATGAATGAATGAATGAATGAATGAATGAATGAAGGAACGAATGATGCAATATACGTATATGTTTAAACAAATTGTTGAGGTCGTCATTTTCACGAATGATTTTGAAAAATAAACATGTTCATGGATATATTTTTGATGAGGTTTACAGTATAATGTCTCAGCAACCATATGCTAATTGATTTCTTCCAATTTGATGTACAATAAAACATATTGGTACGTTTACTTATCTCGGTGCTCGTTTTAGCCACGATATTACACAATTCTGCGTTACTTTTGCACAATTCTTGCGTTATTTGCACATCCCTGCGTTACTGGATATACACGGTGTTCATGGAACGACAATACTTTTGCGATAATGTGTAATATGAAAAGGTAATGACATGAATACCCGCGGTACACCTATAATATTTTACTCTGTATTATTCATTTACCGTAAGACATTACAAGTACGTAGGCTATTTATGGTTCAACAATAAAAAAAACCCGCTGTTTACGAGTCATTTTTTTTCCAAAGTGAAACATAATAAAGCTTAAAATGACATTTGCATTTATTTAAGTTTACTAGTATTTCAATAAAGATAGATGATCTGATTTTTAAACCATGTAGGTGCATAAATCTAGTCATGTTTAGAGTTATTTACTGAAATAAATACGACATTTTAACAAAATAATACATATAAAAGGTAACCAAAAACCGAAATTATGTTTTACTGTTGGCTCAGGTTGACAGAAAGTATGTATAAACACATTTGTGGATGATTTCAGACATAGTCTCTGGCCTGTGAAGATAAAAGGCAATTAAAAAAATTGTATTCTAAACTTGACTTTTGACATTAAAATTATAAAATGATTAAGTGTCCATAAAGGTTTACATACATGCTATTCTATCAACATCAAAGACTGAGAACATCTAATGGTAAATTAGATTGTTCAGATTTTGTTAGACATTTGGCATCTTAGATACCTGACATAAATTAATTGCCCATAAAGAATGACATGAAATAGTTTGAGGGCATGGTGAAATTCAGTATACCTACACATTGTGTACAATTCTACATGACATAATGCTTATATCATCATTATCTTATTTTTGATAACGAACCTATTTTTTTTTTAAAGATCCTGTAACACAAATTTTTATGGTTTTATATCATAAATATGATGCTCAAATTAAGATGTATCAATATTGTATGTTCCAAAAAGCATTATTTGTAAAGATATTACCGAATTTAATATTACATGTTAAAAAAAGGGAGGCAAATAGAAATTTATTTTCTATAAAGTCTAAGTCAAACTTTTCAATAAGAAATGAATGCGTATATTTTAATGATTACATATTATGTGTAAAAATATTGCAGTATATATTTTACATATAATTCGATGTTTGAAAATTGTTTTATAAGCATATTTATATACATATATAAAATTTCACTTAAGTGTGGTAACAACCCGTATAGCTTAATCGGTTAGAGCACGAGACTTGTAATCTCGACATTGTGGGTTTGATTCCCGGGCTGGCAAACTAAAATTACTAATCAGTCTTTCGGATGAGATTTTAAATCGAGGTCGCGTGTATGAGTGCTTTAACACTGGGCACATTAAAGAACGGAAAAGCTTCTGGAACTGGGGCATCTTTCTGTATTTGTACTCCAAAAATCTAAAATGACTAATACTCTTCTGGAGGACTCGCCCATATGGGCAACCGGTTGCGAGTATGAATAAACTCAAATACACAGAAATGGTAACGACCTCAATTACAACATACATCTTTAAAGGCAATTCACTTATATTTGTTTAGAAAAGGGTATCCATCTTGAAATTAAAGATGGCCACAATTGTAGTCAATAAGTAAATCATGTTTAATTATCAGCCAATCATTCATAGAAGACTCTGAAACTTTATTGCGTGTGGTTTAACGGAAATACATTTCGCTAAGAACCAGAAATAAGAAATTATGAAGTAATTAGTAAAGCTCAATGGCGGCCATTTTTATTTGTAGTAGAGCAAGAAATGGATTCAGCGTACTTGAATTATGTAAAAAGAGTTGACTACCTGCTTGTACTAAAAAATGCTGTTAGACTCTTAACGAAAACCAAACCCGTCTAACTCAAAACAGTCTGAAAGCCTTATCGTTATATTATATGATTATTTAACATGTGTAAGGCGCGGGGTAATACTTTTAAATTATACATCTACGTGAATACAACATATCTTACATAGCAAATAATATATCATTGTGATCAGATATTTACAAAACTTTATAATAATAATAATAATAAATAATAATGATAATAATAATAAAATAGATTGATGTCTCCATGCGCATGTACAACCGGAACGCGGAGATGCGAAAATGTAACAAAGCGAAAATGTAACAATGCGAAAAAGCGAAAATGCAACAATGCGAAAATGTAACAATGCGATTAAGCGCAAATGCAACAATGCGAAAATGTAACTATGCGAAAAAGCGAAAATGCGAAGGGACGACAAAGTTATAATTTTGTCGCCTCTTTGTGTTTTCGAATTTTTGTATCTTGAATGCGAAAAAGCGAAAATACGACAGATGGAATGCGAATATACGACAGATTTTATGTGTCGTATTTTCGCCCTCCTTCTGTCGTATTTTCGCTTTGTTGCCTCGAAAATGCGAAAACACGAAGAGCCAAAAAAGTCCAACTTTGTCGTCTCTTCGTGTTTTCGCATTTTGAGGCGAAGAAGCGAAAATACGACATGGCGTAAATCAGCCACCATACTTCAGCAACCCTTCCGAACGAACGGGAACAGGACTAGAGTTTAGAACCACCCGATGTTCCGTGAGTTGGATAGCTTCTTCACAATAGAAAATGAAACTTTAATTTATTGATATTTATATCAAATCGTAGCTAATTATAATATCTATTTGTTTAGATGTTCTTTATTTAATTGCAAAAGCAAAAACAGACTAATATAATTAATAATGCCAAAAATGCATTTGAGCCGCGTCATGACAAAACCAACATAATACGTTTGCGACAAGCATGGATCCAGACCATCCGGGCAGTTTGATCAGGATCCATGCTGTTCGCTTACAAACCCTATAATAAGTATAGAAACTGATAGCGAACAGCCTGAATCCTGATCAGACTGAGCGATGCGCAGGCTGGTCTGGATCCATGCAGGTCGCAAACGCATTATATTGGTTTTGTCATTGCGCGGCTCATTTGTATTTATTGTGTGGATAATTGAAAAAAAAATTACTTCAGAGATAACATATTTTCATTTAAATATATGTTAACACACTTGAAATGAAATGAAAAAACTTCATACCAGAAAATGCAAAACAAACAACTTTATTCAAAACACATATAGTGTCCTAAATCTGTCACTTTATTACTTATAATGTTTCTCGTATGATTATCATTTAAAATGCGTGTTTTTTTCAAGTTGAAATAATTGTTATTATGTAATTTACATGAGTATCAAATGTCCATGCCTCCAGTATAGCCTAATTAAACTTGAGAAAAATGTACACAGAATAGAAAAAGATACAAGATTCAAGAAAAAATTTACATGTTATTTTTGAAAAATTACTGATTTTGCAGTATTTATCATTACTACTTCTATGACTTACACAGTAAGGACTATCTTTGCATATTTGGGCGTCTTTCTGGGAATTTACGTCAATTATAAGTGATGTTTGCAATGTGTAAATTTACTTTATCTGTTATAATTATATTCTTAATTCATTTTCAAAATTTTTATGAACGTAAGCATGAATCTGGGGATATGCTGGTTTACAATTGACACACACACGCACAAAGTCGTCAGCACATATAACCAACAAGAAACCATGTGAACTCTTTCCAATTCCCATGCATCTTTTCTACCTGAAGTACATTGTATTGTTAACCATTGTCACACCTTAATAGTTCATCAGATGATAATCAGCTCCCATTTACATAAAGTAGCATTCTTAAGAGATTCCTTCCTTGTTTTGAATTGAAATTTCTAAAATGGGTTAAAGGTGATCTTCCCTTAAAAGGCGAGCTTGCATATTTGTAACTTTTTGCATTTCTTAAAATTTCTTGCGTCGCTTAACGTTTCAAAAACAATGGAATAATAATAGCGTTGTGCTTTAAAATTGGGGAAAATATGTTAATTAAAACAAAAGTTGATATGTACAGAATAAAACTAAAATGTTATGCACTTACTTTTTATCAGTTTTTAAAATGTTTTAAACAATATATATTTAAATATCCTTTAATCAGCCTTTCTTTTGTAAATATGAATTATTCCAAGTCCTAACATAAAGTAAAACACGCTTTATCTGAACCCGATTTTATAACTACTTAATTTTGCACTTGCACAGTGTAAATAATACGTTTTTTATTACTATGTCTAAAGTATTCAATAGCAAGATGTATGTAATTGCTTTACTTTCGTGTTAAGGGCATGCCTCCGACATGTTTTATTTATGAGCCGCGTCATGACAAAACCAACATAATGCGTTTGCGACCAGCATCCGCGCAGTCTGGTCAGGATCCATGCTGTTCGCTTACAAACCCTATTACAAGTCGAGAAACTGACCTCCACTGATTATATTGCAATGGCGTAAGGATTCAAAAGGGAGATTACTGTTGCACTGAAAAAAGGGTCGGTTTGAATAACCTCCCCTAAAACATTGCAAATGGCATAATAGTTCAAAGGGAGGTGACTGTTGGGCTGAAATAGAGTCGATAAGAATGAACTCCCCTGTAAACATTGCAAATGGCGTACGGATTCATGGGTGGTAACTGTTCCGCTCAAAAAAGAGTTGATTAGGGTGACCTCCCCTGATAACATTGTAAATGGCGTAAGAGTTCCAAAGGAAGGTTACTTTTGCGCTACAAATAGAGTTGGTAAGACTGACCTCCCTTGATAACATTGTAAATGGCGTAAGGATTCAGAAGCACTTTGTATGATTTGCGCAGTTTTTTAAAAAAAAAAAATTCTGTATTTAAATATTTTATTTCTCCTAATTAGGATTTTAAAATCTGGATGTTAAGAGTGTCATAATAACAGAGATTTTCGACCATGCGACCACATACATGCATCGAGGACATGTTTTTAGGAAAGTGACCGTGCGACCACATTCACGTATCACGAGATTCGCCTTCTCTTACGAGAAAGGGACAAAGAGTTGTCCGTCCTTTTATTACAGGGCAGACTAAAAATATATGCCAATGCCTTATAATAATGATAAGGAGGCTAATTTTCACAGATATGTCTTGAATTGGTTTATATACAACAACAGTAACGCAAACCAAGCGGGTTATACGTTTACGTCTTTTAAGTCCGCTATGAAAATTTAAAAGGATAATATATAATTTCTTGGAAATTTTTAGTTTAAAGGGTTTTCTACTTTTCGTTCTATGTATATAACAGAAATACTTTAGTTTTGCAAAACATGAACGTATCAAAAACGTTTTATATGCATTAAAAATATTGAAGATATATTTCTATCATAGTTTGGAGACCTTTCTGTTAAAAATGTGTCAGGGTTAAATCGTATACATATACATGCACAGTGCGTTAACTGGAGTGCGGGTATTAGTTACCCGCACTCCAGAGCATGCCCATTGATTGGCTCATTTTTGCTGGGGTTTACATATTGTGACGGCAGAGAAAGGGAAATCGACAGAAATGTCATATTCAGATGTTCGTTCATTGGTTCATTTTTGCCGGGGTTTCGTATTATGGCAACAGGGAACGGGCTTTTATGTTTGACTATGATACAAAAGAGAAAGAACACCAAAACACTCGGCAATCTGATTAATACGCGGGGGCTACGCCCCCTCGTACAAATCAGATAGCCTCGTGTTTCGGTGCTCTTTCTATTACTTCACACGTGGTTTTCAAATATTAACCTGGGGGCATTTTTGCCGAAGTGCTGTCCCAGGAGAATAACTTGAGCCTATGTTTACATAAAAATTAATAACAAAGCAATGCGAAAAAAGGTAAAGCAGACTGAAGCCTAATAAATGAAACACAAAGTAAAACGTCATATTTTTTTTGTGCCTTGATAGTGCAGTAGGCAGAGCGTCCGTGTCAGTGCTCGTATCATAGTAAGGTACCATTATATTTCAGTGTTTTATGTATCTTTTTCTTATTTGACCAGTTTTGTTTCAAAATGCACGAGATAGAATATTTTTGTACACAGGTTGATATGCAGTTGTGTTAACATCAGGAAAAAGCATTAACAGAAATGTAAGAAATATAATGAAATGAAGTGTGTTATATCTTGATCCATATATTCAAATTATATATATTTCGTAATCGTAGTGTGTTTAAAATTGTTTGATTTTTTAAATGTTAATCAAAATAAGAAAAGCATTTGAAATGTAGTTAGTTTCTTTATAAAGAGTGGAACAACAATGACATAAAAAGAAACATAAAATAGAAGAAGAAATTTTTAAGAACCACATACATGTATATTCAAGTGATCATACAAAAGACAGATAAAGTGAAAAAGGGAGGAAAACAACAACAACAACAACATAGTAACATGGCAGAGCGAAGGGTTAAACATAAAAGTGCAAATAATTAAAAGTTACTGTGATGTTTATTTACCAACAGTTACTTAGCTTCTATACGATGGTACACATTTTTTAGAATATTAAACCATATACAGTTGTTGACACTGTCACTCTCAGATAATATGCAGACTTACCCTTAATTGGACTTTCCCAAGTACCGTTAAGACCAAATTATCATCACAGGACAATATGGACAATACACATTTAATTTCTTATTCTACTAGAAAAAGAAAAGGTAATGTATGTGTTGGGCTGCAAGAGAAAACTTGAACAGCACGCAAATATGACACTGGTAAGACAACATGTATTTGCAAGTCTTATCATACCTGCTGAATTTGATCGTTACAAAAGTATGAAGTAGGCTCATGCAGTCACGCAGACCTTCATCCGTGTGACGCCATTTAACAAATTCTCTATCATAAGAGATACCTTAATTTCAGCTACATCTACCCTTTTTACCGTAATCTAACGCAAAACATATACAATGCATACGTAGAGACTTTATTTTTTTTTAATTCGTTTTTTCTTCTTCAGAAAATAGCTGTAGAGATCTAATACGAATACAGTGATACAAGACTTTCTAGATCTAGTTCAACGTACGACAGAGGTCTAGGCCTTTATGCCTTAATTGACATTACGTCGCCTGTCGGTCAAGTTGGTAGGGGTCTTACGGATCAGCAAATCAGCGATTGATAAGTTTCCGTGTCCCATTGAGGTCACATTTAAAATGTGCAATTACATGTATCTTATTACTAATAATAAATTAATAAATAACCACAACTGATAGATGCTGATATTGTAAGATGATAGCTTCCAGTAGAAATCTTAAGCTTATGGTAATGTTGTTTCATTACCTAGTATGTAAATTGTTAGCATTGTTAAATAAAGTAAGTTTAAACCAAATAAGAATGTATTGCAATTCTCTATGGAACAGAATTAATGCATTTATTCTATCTTGCTTGATGACATTGGAACTTGCATTATGCTTAATTCCATCTTGCTTGATGACATTGGAACTTGCATTATGCTTAATTCCATCTTGCTACATGACATTAGAACTTGCATTATGCTTGATTCCATCTTGCTTTATGATATTTAAACTTTGCATTATGCTGGATTCCATTTTTCATTATTTCATTCAAACATTTCGTAGTGACCAATTCTTTCATTGAGTGATAACTATTAAACTGGAACAAGCCATTTGGAATACTAAAATGTTAACGTCATATACCTTTATGTATAAGCTACCTTTCTTCATGCTCTATACAAACCATTTACGGTTTAGTTTTTTTGTATTACTTTTATGTAGAAGTCATTTAAAATTGACTATTTTTTGTTCCCTGATGGATTTTGTTAAAATGTGACTTATTTGATTTATAGCTCGCATGGCGTGATTACTATTAGCTTTCGCTTATATCCATTATTCAGTGTTTATGCTTAATAAAGCTCGGTGTCTGAGGCTTTGTGGATTATGTTTGATCATCTTACATTATGATAAACAATTTAAACTATGTCTAGCGATTTGTGAACTGTTAAGGGGCGAGAACTCTGTTATCGATATCAACGGATTTTTCCACGATTCGCCTATCATCGGAATCGCCTATCATCGGAATTGTCCGTATAGATACTGCGTACATGTATATATAAATGCGTATACATAAATTGCAGTGGAAAGAATATCAATACAAGTAGTAAAGGACTATGCAATATAATTTTATATACATGTATGTATACAGTCTAAAAGAAAAAATATGCTCGTAAACAGTTATTCAATGGGGCAGATATACGTACAGTGGCGGCTTCAGGCCCTGACTTAAGGGCTGCACCTACCCCAAATATACGTTCATGAGCTGGGATGGAATATATACGTGTCAGTTTCATGCAATAGTCTTCTTGCCGTCATCCAGTTGTTAAGCACCTGCCTATAGGTACTGCGAATGTCTTTATCTAAAGACTTGGACATTAAAAAGCAAAATTTATTGGCCTTTTAACTTATAAATGTCTCAGAGTCACTAATAGTGGCGAATAGGTATGTTACATAATAGATATTAAAATATACATGTATAATAAGGAAAGAAGGAAGTTGTTTCTTTTTGTAACATATGCATAGTCAATTACAAATGTTGGGCATATGTGTGTCTGATTATAGATCAGATATCCCGCACACACCACCACATTCACATACATTTGTGCTTAAATATATACTATGCACATCTTTCAGTAATATATTTTTATCACAGAAATTTATTGAAATCTATAAAAACACATACACATAATGTATAGGAACCTGCTTTCCTTATTACGGGTCAAGTAAAGTGGTGCCCACATGTCTTTAAAAGAAACTTCCATATATTTTTTGTAATAACACTATACATGTATATTCATACTGCCCACTTACAGTGTAAAGGATTTAAAGCACAATATTTGTGTGACGCCAAATTATATTTATTTAATTTTACAGAAAAAAATCAAGTTTGTACTGTACTAAGTCGTGGCCACGAGTTACTAAGTCGTGGCCACGAGATAGTTAAGTCGTGGCAACGAGATACTATATCGTAGCCACGAGATACTATGTCACGACCACGAGTTACTAAGTCGTTTAAGTCATGGGAAAGAGATAACTAAGTCGTACAGACGAGATAATTAAATCAGATTACACCATGATTTTTTAAACTTAGAAAATTTCTGTTTAAAGATTTACGTGCAACATTAATCTTTGAAAATACTGAAGTGTTCACTTTGAACTTGATACATGTCTTCAGGATCATAAGGCC